CTTTTGTTTAAATGAACACGTAAGTAACATAATTACCTATTTGTGTATGTATGAAAGTAGCACGAGTATCTAATCATGACAAGAAATTACACAGTATATAGTTAATGTAAAAGACCATTACAATACACATAGATTACTAATTATCTGGATTACAAAAAACAAACGCAACATTGGCTGACATTACAAATTGATTTATATTACTGTATAAGTAAATTTCTAAGGAGTGTAAAAGACTGATCTTTTAAAATGGTGATTAGGTAAATCTCAGATATTTCTTCAGAGGTTTAATTAGATTGCAATTGTTAGCAATTCTTCAAAACAGATTGACAGTTTCGCGATGACAGATGTACTACTTGATGGCGTGAGTTGCAAACCGGGTAACTATGCCTATTAAAATGCTAAACGGATCTTACATAAATTGGTATTTACCTAACGAGGTCAGGTATAATATTTACTTATTACTGGTGGTAGAGTTAAACATAGGTATAATGTGTATTCCCATAAAAGTACTAACATTTCACTTATTTCTGTTTGAAGTATAAATTTGGAATTGTATTTGACCTATTGGACATACTAATGTAATTCATCATCATCATCATCATCTCAGCCCGGAAGACGTCCACTGCTGGACATAGGCCTCCCCCAAAGATCTCCACGACGATCGGTCCTGCGCTGATCGCATCCAATGCCTTCTAGCGATCTTGACCAGATCGTCGGTCCACCTTGCTGGAGGCCTTCCCACGCTGCGTCTTTCAGTCCGTGGTCGCCACTCGAGGACTTTACTGGCCCAACGGTCATCTGTCCTACGAGCTTTGTGCCCTGCCCAACTGGATAGTTTGCCCTAAGTATACGTAGTGATCGACAAGTTCGAGTGTAGAATCCCCGATTTTTACGGGAGCAGGAGGCGACATGGGCGTTTGACATAATTTTCGTCTTGTCCATGTTCATCTTAAGACCTACTCCTTGTGAGATTCTACTGAGGTCTTCAAGCATTTTGCTAAGGACTTCCAGGGTCTCAGCCATGACCACGATATCGTCGGCAAATCGAAGGTCATTGATGTACTCGCCGTTAATGTTGATGCCCTGCCCGCTCCATTCCAGAAACTTGAAGACATCTTCCAACGCAGCGGTAAACAGCTTTGGCGATATGACATCGCCTTGCCTGACACCTCGCTGCAGTTGGATAGGCTTCAAATTCTGGTCGTGGAGGCGAACTGACATAGTGGCGTTTTTATACAAACTCAAAAAAAATTTCAACGCTTCGATATATCGATAATCAATTTGGCACCGCTGGAGAGACTGCAGCACAGCCCACGTCTCGATCGAATCAAAGGCTTTTTCATAGTCCACAAACGCCAAGCAAAGTGGTAGGTTGTATTCTTCGGTCTTATGAATTACCTGCCGCAGCGTATGAATGTGGTCTATGGTACGGTATTTCGAAGCCTTTTCGGAACCCGGCTTGTTCGGGAGGCTGGAAGTCGTCAAACCTGCGCGCGAGACTTTTCGTGATGACTCTCGAAAACAACTTAGCTCAAACTAACATGGCTCAGTGTAACACTGCATCGGTCTGAAATTCTTCAGAAGCGATTTGTCTCCCTTCTTGAAGAACAGAACCACCACACCCCTTTGCCATGCTTGAGGCGTTCTGCCCTCGAGGATAATGGAGTTGAATAGCTTCTGGAGGATTCGTAAAACAGGTCTACCTCCAGTCTTCAGAAGCTCAGCAGTAACTCTAGTTGTTTTTAAGTTGTTTAAGAACCATACCAATCTCGTACAGGCTGACGTCCGGGATATCTTCGGTATAGTGTCGGGTTAATTTGGCTCTAGGGTCTTTCGCCGTGTTCTTAACAGGTGCCCGTGTAGTCGTGTATAACTGTCCATAGAACTTCTCAATTTCCCTCAAAATTTCGGGTTTAGACGATACGATCCTGCCGTCATTCGTCTTAAGTCGCGTCAGCTGGCTCTCTCCGGCAGCCAGATCCCTGTTAAAGACTTTTGAGCCCTTGTTTTTCTCAATAGCCTCCTTTACACAATTTGTGTTAAAGTGGCGCAAGTCACGAGTCAAGGACTTAGAGATCTGCCTGCTAAGTTGCCGATACTGGGAAGCGTCAGTCGGAGACTGCAGGACCATACTTCGCCTTTCATCCATCAGTTTGAGGGTAGAGATAGATATTTTTCCGGTTCTTTCTGCGCGGCGGGTTTTGAAGTGCTTAGACCCAGCCGCACGGACAGTTTCCACGAACCTGTACCACGAACGTGGACGATTATAACAATCGTCAACGTCAATGCAGTCACCAAGGCATTCGAAACGGTTTTGCAATTCTAGCTGAAAGCTTTCGGGGTTTTGGATCTGTATAGGTGTAGGGCGGAGCGTAGATTTCATCAGTCGGGATCGTTCGAGTATCAGATTCAGATTCAATGTGCCTCTTACCATCCAGTGATCGCTTCCAATTTTGACGGCATTGATCACAGAGACATCATTGAAAATCTGTCTTCTCGTTGACAAGATGAAATCTATCTCGTTTTTTGTGACACCATCGAGGCTAATCTACGTCCATTTCCGGTGTTCCGGCTTCCTGAAGAAGGAGTTCATCATAAAGAGGCTCTCCTTCTTCATGAAGTCGGTCAGCATTTGACCACGGAAGTTCCGATCACCGATACCAAATTGCCCCACTCTCAGCTCATCACCGCTTCGTTTGCCCAATTTTGCGTTAAATTCCCCCATGATAACGTTAAAATGAGTCTTTGTACTATGTGGACGAGGAACCCGACACCGCCTTGGGACAGTTAATCGCCCTCCCGGAAGTAAAGCAGATTGCCGGATTTCAGGACTATCGAGTCCTCCCCCTTTCTTCGGACTTCAGATAATCCCACGACATGCCAGTGCAATCTGCTCAACTTTTCCTCCAGTTCAGTTAACTTTTCGTCGGTCCGCAGTGTTTGAACGTTGTATATTGCCAGGGCCAGTGGTCGTCGTTTGTGGTAGCCTGGTCTTACCCGGAGATTCTTCGCACCCCCTGCCCCGTCGTTTCCATGACCGCTACCATGGTCAAGACTAGCGGGGCCGCCGGGGACTGGGGGCCGGGGCCTTGGGTGTATATCCATTTGGGGGGATATTGCCATAATCGCCACGCTTGGCATGCGAGTTGGCGATCGCAGTGTGATGGTAGTTACTCAGTAAACGCTGCTGCCCGTCCACTGGTCGATGAATCCCTTAGTCGCCTTTTACGACACCCACGGGAAGAGAGGGGGTGGTGCTAACAGGTGGGCGACACCACACGCACAACGTAATTATCAGTCTTAATAATAAAAAAAAGCGTTACATTCAAGTATGTAGACCCACTGCTAACTTTAGCACTTGTACAGGTGGATCGCCAGTTGGTTTGCTATACTTACACTTTTGCTATTATACACGAATACAACTAGTAACAATAAATACAAATACATTAATATTTTGAATTATGATTAAATAACTGACACACATAGCACTTTTGATGCGCAAGGATTCCGACAGTTGTAACATCTCAGTAATAAAATAATTTTTATTTAAAGATAAACCAAGAGATTGCAACTTTAATTACGTACAGCTTGAAACATGATGAAATTATAAGAATTTTATATAATAATTTTGTGCTAGTACATAATGTTTTAGTGTTGCCTATGTTAATATCAACACAAAATAGAAACTAGTTAATGTATTAATATCGTATAAATATTAATCTTGTCTCTGTCAACTATCTTATTTATATAGCACTGCAAATAAGTCTCTATTTCAAATAACTCTATGCAATAAAACCGTCACATAACATACTTAAAATGTGTCCTATTGTGCGGAGTCATAATTAATTAACGAGGTTCGTGCTTATATGCGCTTCGGTGATTCACATAATGTTAAATAACTCGTCACAATATACTTTTCGAGACGTCGCCGTCGGCGTCCGATGCATTAAACTAGCGTAAAACGCTTTTTCAAAGGTCATTTGACTAAGTCGTCTAACAAGTTGCTTTCTGAAAATTTACAAAGGCTAATAATTTAAATACAATTATTAAGAATTCGTAACTCATGGTACATAACGCAAGATGAGTTAGATTGAGATAGATTAGTAATCTAGCCTTATATATCTATATATGGAGGTATACTATTTATTTGATTTGTTTTACCTCTTAGCTCACGGCGTGATCACGGGAACGAAAATCATCCGATTCCCCGCACTTGCTGAGAGAAGTCTAGTCTGTCTGAGTGACAGCACTCAAATCATAATCATATGTAAATAATCGAAGCATACGTACAATTGTACATTGTATCATATCAAGAAGTTGTATTGTACTGTTAACACAACGCGATTAATATTCTAGTAATTTATAAGAACCTTTAGTTACTGTTCTGGTAGGACATCTGACTTGAATATCGTATAAATATATTATGTAGGATAGTAGAAACACATAGAGAGAACCTTCTTAATTTCCAGGACAGTGCTTTCTTTTCTTTAAGCGTGTTTAGCGGTTATGATGGAGCCACTATTAATTATATTTGTCTTCGTAATGATTAATCCAAGTGATTTACATTATGCATATTAAGTAGAGATATTTACCGATGGGACCCCCTATATACATAACAGGGATTCGACCCGAATGGCAGGCAATTATTCTAGAAACCGACCACAAGTAGGGAACAATGTAAACAATGCCGCATGGTGTAAACAATATCGCCCTATATGTACAGCTAAAATATATGCCTGTATACTTATTGGCTCAGAGTAATATTCTCAGAACTTTATATTTCGTCTGATGAAGCACATTTATGTTTTCTCTCTATAGTCTGTGATAGTACTAAGTCTGTTATATACATAATACCTACATCACAAAAAATAAAAATGTAGATACGAGTACCAACCTATTTTGAATCTACGTATACCTACGGGACATACATAGACTATTTCGTTTATGGAATAAACTAAATAGTCTATGCTATTTATAAGTTACAAATGAATTGTCAATATTTTAAATCAATAAAGGTATTATACTTATATGTAATATAAAATGGTGGTCAAATAGGTTGCTTTTTACTCCCACACTTCCGTTTATTTTGGATAACGTAAACATACAAAGAAATGTACTGGGTTGACAATATATTTACAAAATATCCATACTAATATATTTAACAAAAAAATAATACATTACTTTTGAAATGGTGGATGTTAATTGATGATAATGCATTTTGAATTACATACGAAACGTTTTGTAGTTGGTTAGTTTTTATTTCGTATATAATGTACTTTTGTAGTTACTTCGTTCGTAATTTATTACTACATTATTTTACTTGAGTTTGTATTTATGTTTATATTCCATATTCATATCCTCTATTTTTTTGATAGGGTGATACAAATCATTATAAAGATTGGGCGAGATGTTAACAATAAACGTATGAAAGATTGATATTTAGTATAATATGCTTTTTATTTTCCAAACAATTTTCTTTGTCTACATAGCGAACCTCGCGTACAGAGCATGTTTTGTACATTGAGTCTGGAGTAGTGTTTATTTACATTATAGAATAAAGAAAAGTGAATATTTTATTTTACCTGGGCACAATCCACTTAAACAAATTATGACTAATTTACACATAAATATGCATCATAACCTGATTTTCATGTTTCGGTACAGGTCGTCTACGTTACATATACCTACTAAGCAGGTAGGTACTAAAAATTATACGATAGGTATACTTTTAGGAAATACCCACCTGTTTCTTAATAAACACTCTCTTTCCTGCTTTATAAACTACAAATACCGTCTATCTGAATGAATTAAATTATCAGTATACTAGACATATGAATATCTAGTATACAGATATTTTAAATTAGTATTATCTAAGACGTAGATGATACTAATTTTCCGTGATCACTACAAATATATATATATATATTACATAAATAGATGGCGTTGTGCGATTTATTCTGACTTTTTAATATTATTGGTTATTATTTTATGACCATTCACTCTATCCTTATCTAATATTAATATTTACACTGACGTGATTTAATGCAATATATGATATTTTTAGTTAATAATCAATAAAGCAGTATGTTAATTGATACTTATTACAGATATTAAAAACTTATTGTACAGTTAAAAGACAGCTGTACCAGTAACCTAATCCAAATAATTCGGCACGGTGTTTATTTTGCATGTAGTTGGAGATTACGGTTAATGAATACAATTTATTAATATAAAATTGATTGATACAAGCGAAGGCTAGCGTTTTGCTCATTATCGTTGTATTACTTTTCTTCTTATTATAACTTTGTACTATAGTTCGAGATACTATTTCACTTTCCGTAGGTATATCCGGGTTGGATCTCTACTTATACTAGTACCTATTCATGAGCAAACGTGACATTTTCGACTGTTTTTTTTTCTATTTTTGACTATACCAAACTTTTGTCATGAATATTATATACCTATATTATATGCATTTATTTGATTGTGTGAATTTACTTAGGATAACAAACTGTACATATATTGAGATATTGCATTTGGCACTAAAAGTATTATACAGAATGAAATTTATTATAATAGTAGAATACGATATAATTTACAAATTTTTCAATAATCAATCTATTATAGATTTCAGTTATATTTTTATACATGCTTATAGGTATGTAATATTAACTTATGTGAGCTATATCGATTCCTTCTCCTTACACTGCGCCACGCCTTAAGGCACGGAAGTAGGTAGATATAAATTCCATGTACATATGTAGAAAATTCTCTAACTAGTAGGTACATCTAATTAATGCGTGTTTTGTTTTCCAGATGCGATCCCCGTCAGGTTCAACCTGTGGATAATGTTATTCACGAGTTGTTGGATAATTTACATGCTTCGAGTCAACATGAGTCTAAATCTTATTGCCATGGTTCCGCGTCCTCCCAAAAATCACACGTAAATATTATCTTTAGAGTTATCAGCAAATTATATAACCTGAGAGAATCTTGATATGTATTAGTGGAAATGGACAACATATTGTGTATAATGATAATGGAATATTGATGATGATGACTTAAAATAACACAGTATATAAGCTGAAATAGTTTTATAATACCAAACTATGATTTTAATGTGGATATATACTTATGTACCTACTGTAAAAATAGTCGTACCACGGTCGCAAGATATACTAAATGTATTTCATCTAGTCACTTTTTGTTTGTTACCAAACAAAAACGACGTTTTCCGCAATGATGATTATGGGAGTGAAATATGATTGTTTCTAAGAGGCAATATTAGATAATTTATCATTGGATAAAAACGTTCGAGTAAAAAAAAGTGTATAAGTACATGGATAGTTTAGCTGTTGGTATTTTGATAATAATGGTCGTATAGTATTTTATTATATATCATGATTAAAATTAGTCACGCAATTGACTGGCGTATCTAATATGTTTACGTGTTTTATCAGGATACAATCTCAGTGTGAGCCGAGAGACGATGTCACAAACGAGACACTACACCATGTGGATATTACTGATATTAGGGAAGCACCCAGGCAGGTACGAAAAGTATTGCATTTAGATTTTTACGTACCATCCACGATCCCATTGCTAAACATGATATATACATATAAATAACATATAAAATACAAAGATATAAGTATAATATCGTCTAAGTTAATTAAACTGTTCGACATATATCATTATTTTTCAACCAACTTTGTTTAGTAGGTAGATTACCAATGAATATTTGTAATTAGTAGAAATATACGCCATTAATGTGTATACGGTATATTTTTATTTATGTTAGTAAGATTTCTTAGTAAATAAATAATTATAATATCCTGTCTGTGCGTTTGTCCTGGACCATTCTTATACTTGTAGGACCTTCTAGTCCCAAGCTAAGCGTTTGTGTTATGGGTACTAGACATATCTTTTAAATACATACATAAATAATATAAATAGAAAATAGTCATGATCGATATAAACTGTCATATATACTGAATACAAATGTTTGCACCCGCGACCATCGGAAGTAAAGCGCTGTACTAAACCACTAGACCACCGAGGCATCAAAAACTCACTGTGGCGTTTAAAGTGCCTATCTGGTTTAAATGTAATTTACACTGATGTATTGTAAGAAAACACCAGTAACTTGATTTGTTTATTAATATTTTAATTAATTGTTCAATTTCAATCTGTTCATAAACAAAAAAGGTATGTTGTCTTGCCTATTGATATTCTAAATACCACAAGTGAAGTCGTGAACATAGCCAGGCTAGGTATCCAGTTAATAGAAAAGTGTTATGGCGTGGAATAGAAATAGTGTAATGGATATATATCATAACTATGTTGAAATAGTTCAGTATTTATATATTGATTATTTTTTAATAAAACATCTTTGTAGGCATGTTTTCATTACTGAGGAACTTACTGGCTGGGTTGACCAACTCTTATAATAAATTATTCGGGATTTCTTAGACAAAATAATCAGGAAACAAATCGAGAATTCAGAGAAATTGGCTTTAACATTTCATTTTAAGCTGAACTGGTATTCTCACTATTTTATTACTATTCATGAGTTAGGTTCTGCATACTCAGTACCTACTTTCGACTGGCCAAATGACACGTGTCGCAATGTGGGCGCGACCAGAGATGAACATGGTGGAAACGTGAATTAAAATATATACATATATATGTTCAAAATCAGGACAGTTGGTAACCTTACTACTTACCGCATCACATATAATAATTATACGAGCATATTTTGAGAGCCAGCTGTTACCGGTTTCTCTATTTTTTGTTATTGATCTAGATTAATTAAACATACTATTGTCAATTCGAAAATAGTTTTGTAGTATAACTAGAATCATAGGTAGGTATCTTAAATATAATAAATAGATTACTATGTTTTGTTAACTGAACTGAAAGGAAAATATAATACATATGAGTGTATAGTATAATATTTTATTCATTTATAAAGTATTAAGAATCTGCGAAAAATATTATTTTGATAATCTTATAGTTAATTTACACCAATTAAATATAAACATGCATCTTAATATAAACTGGTATCAACTTATCTGCATCTAAGATGTTTCATGTTCTGCTAGCATTTAATTATCAAAAATAAATAATTTCATACAAAAACTACATATCTGCACATAATCACATAATACTAGTGTATCAAATATCAATATCAATATCAAAGAATATTGTGACTGAAGCAGCTACTGCTGTTTTCAAAGCCTATTTACAAAAGAATATCTCTATTATTAACGATGTTTTTGTACGAACACGTTAATTCCACTAGCAGTAGGTACACCCATTCTAAGGGATCTTTTTGGTTTGCTTTAGATATCTCAATTCCATCCCCACATATAAGAGAATATTGTTGTACTATATCCTATTAACATTTTAGGTCCCTGATGGAACGACCTTTGATTGGTCCACTAATCAGCAAGCTTTGATTCTCGGATCGTATTTTTGGTCATACCCTGTGACGTCGCTAATTGGTGGAATGGCTGCCGAAAGGTGGGGCCCTCGATATGTAGTGCTTCTAAGCACAGCAGCCAGTGGTGTACTCACAGCACTCAGTCCTATTGCCGCCACAATAAATGACGTGGCCCTCGTAGTAGTGAGATTCTTTCTTGGCCTCGCTGGGGTAAGTTAGATTTGTTTTAATATTTGACCATATTACATCATGTTACTTCATATAGATTCGCCAAATGTTACATCCTCTTAACACGAACATTGGAGTTTGTTATGTGTTTAATTTTAGGATTCTCTAGTGATACTTTACAATGTTATAACTCAGGTTTGTAGTTATAACCAAAAATTGATTATACTATGAGGATAGTTAGAGTTACTGTGTACGAGTAGTTTATATATATTTCAAACAATATTTGAACTTAACTAGACAGGTAGGAACCTATTGCTTCCTCTATCTCGAAAGTCTACCTCTTATCTCTTTTAATTATATTATTAGCATTAGTTGAAACTTCTTAATAATATTAAAACTGTATCACAGCTTCGTGAATGGATAAATTGATCTAATTTATCAATACATGAATATATTAATTAACAACGGAACCCTAGCAGTTTAAGTTAGATTTGATTCTACTGTTGACATTTTGTGTCTTCTCGACAGTAATTGATATTTTGAATTTGAGTGTGAAATAAAGTAAACATTATATATATCAACAAGTCTATCTAACAAATCGAAGTTCAGATAATTAATAAGATATTCAGTAAAAAATTAGACACAAAAAATATATAAATTACATATTATTATATTAAATATACAAAATACAAAATAATAATACATAAAAGTAATAAATAGAAAGATTTTTATAACGTATTTCTTTGTTTATTTAATGGACTGTTATTTCGATAAATATAGGGGTCAAAATTGTTTATTAAATATTTCAAGTATAAATAAACTGGTATTGATATAAGTACTCCGTCCCCATACACACATTGTTAATTTAAACAATTTGACTAATATGATAATATCTGAATATCGTTGCAGGGTTTTGTGTATCCAGCATTACATGTACTTGTAGCACGATGGGCTCCACCAGCAGAAAAGGGGAAATTCGTAAGCGCCATGATGGGTGGAACCCTAGGAACAGTGGTAACTTGGTCGTTAGCTGGACCACTTATCGAGAAATTTGGATGGGCATCAGCTTTCTATGTGCCAGCAGTAATTACATTTGCGTGGTGTTTCCTGTGGTGGTATCTCGTTGCGGACGCTCCTATAGAACATCCCAGGATTTCGGATACAGAAAGGAAATATATATTAGACGCCCTTGGAGATAAAATTCAAAAATCGAAGGTAAGTTAAATTTACCAAATCTGTATTATGTGCGGCTAAGGGTATAATATATTATAATAAGCTTACCATACCATCGACAATACCAATAATAATATTATGTTTCTTTCAAAATCATTATCATCAGATCATCTATTTTTATGTGCGATCTTTAAAATTACGGTTCCTCTTAAAAGTGTATTTATTACGTTAGTATTAATCACTAAGGAATCACAATATTTTTTTTTTTACCTAGTGAAAGTAAATTCTCATATTTATTGTTCCTTATTATTACGTACTGATTACCGATAGCGAGGTAGTGTAAAACTTGATATTCTGTTTTCAGGGTCTACCGCCATTCAAGAGTATTTTAACGTCAGTTCCATTCTTAGCAATGGTGTTTATACATTATGGAAACCTTTGGGGACTATATTTTATTATGACGGTGGGACCAAAATTTGTCTCCAGTGTATTAGGTTTCGAATTATCTGCTGCCGGTGTAATATCAGCTCTACCTTATCTGGCTAGAATGTTCTTAGCAGCTATTTTTGGAGTTATTGGTGACTGTATACTATCACGAAATATGATGACTACTACTACCATCAGGAAATTCTTTTGTCTATTCTCTCATATTATACCCGGGATATTATTGGTCCTGCTAGTATACGCTGGATGTTCTACAGCACTCTCTGTATCTCTGATAACAATGTCAATGGGCTTCAATGGAGCAGCGACGCTAACAAACTTACAGAACCATCAAGATCTCGCTCCAAATTATGCAGGAACATTATATGGGATAGCTAATTTTGTAGGCAGTACAGCTGGATTCTTTACACCTATGATTACAGCTTACTTTACCAGAAATGGGGTAAGTCAGCATTAAAATTTCTAATTTATAGATATATATTACACTTTAGTTACATGTAAGCTCACATTAAAGTTTAACTACTGAGATATCACTATGTTACTTATAATATGATATAAAAGACGAACATTATTGTTTTAATAAAGTGTTGCACCGATAATACATTTGTCGATATTAATTATGACTTATTTTTCAGAACTCTTTTGAGCAATGGAGGCCGGTATTTTTCATAGGTGCATCCGTATATGTGGTATCGGCCATATTTTTTATACTTTTTGGAACAGGAAATATACAACAATGGAATTTTCCAAATGAAATCGCTGACAGTAAAGAGGATAAAGAAAAAAATGGGGACCTCAAACATATGAAGACCTCTGCTACAAAAAATGGTGATGGTAAGGATGATAAGGAAACTTCACTAAATGTAAATAGTTAGGTAAATAATTATGTGTTTCCAACTATCAAAATCTGAAGAAATGACAAGATTGTATATGTATAGAAATTATGTTGACTGAAACTACTAAATTAATTATGTGTAAGAATTTTAGTTAGTGACCAATATAATAACAGTAATAGTAATAGTACCTAATACAACTATTCTATCCAGGACTTAATTTTGATATAGTAGGTTATAAGTATTATTGGCGTGTGGATGATGATATAATTATCACAAATTTATAAAAATGATTAATAAAAATGTTTGTTCATGTGATTATTTATATAATTCGAAAGACATTCTGCAACTAAATTCTAAACCTTAATTAGTATGTAATTGCTAATAGCTTAGCAATTACATTTAGCTCATTAATTTGTATCTAATTTAAACATTTATTAGCATATAAATTGATATAATAAAATTTCAATCACAATAAATGTTATTAATTATTGTTATAAAACATTCTTATTTTCTGTGATGTTTATTACCAAATCTAATTTTACCTATTTTAAGTTTAGTATTTTATTTAGCTTGCACTATTTAATATGCCTGCTAAAATATTTATTTATTTAATTGATTTGTTTAATTTGAGATAGTTTGCAGAGAGAATAGCGGGTATTAACAGTCGTGGTTTCCTCATTTACGTATCGCATTTCACCATTGCAAAAGAAATATCAATGTTATAGAATATTACAAATGATATAGATTCCTAATATAATAAAAGATTGCTTTCTCAATCAATTGTGTTGATAATCTGGAAAAATTATATCAATGTAGGCAGTTTTCAGATTTCGATAAGTTCGTGATGCAACTTTTTATAATTAATTCATATTATTTTGTATAAATAATATATTTTCATAACTACCATTCCATTCCATACCTACCTTTTTAATGGAATAAATTATAATATTGACAATTCATTTGACAAATAAAACGCCAATATTCAAAATTTTGCCGATTTTTCCTTATTTGGATAATTTGACATAATATTTGATAATTTCACATGCTATTGAATGATGCTACTGAATGATTGCACAATGATATTTGAAATTCACTATCTTGATAAAAACATTTTCTCTCCTGTAGGGTAGGTAATATCTACACTTAAAAAATATTATTATTATATACTCTCTTGTTATGGTTAATAAGAATAGTACCAAGATTATTATCATTTATTATTCAATAATTCAAATTTAATGTAAACAAAGTAGGTCAATACAATAATGAAATTCTATGAAGTATTTATTGGATTTTACTTATATTACTTCTAATACCATATGTCAGGGTGAATAAACTTGAGTATTGAGGAAAACATATCAAAAAACGTTTTACTTACAGCTCTATCCGGGTCTTTTTTTGTAATAATAAATTAATTATTATATATTATGACTTAAGTATCTTTGTTTCGAATTATATGAATATTGCAAATTTTTGTTAGGTACCTACTTGTCAGTACGTTTTCGAATATGCATCGTACATTATTCGACGTAGGTACCTAGAGTAGAATTATTATTATTGTGTAGATTGTATTATTATTGTAAAACAAACAAATTTAAGAATGGTACGTATCTAGTATTGATTAATTTTATATATAGACTTACTAATGAATTTATTGATAGCCCGTGGTCAATGAAATTTTTTATTTATTCTGTGATGTTATAGAATAATATTGCTACAAAATTTTAAACAGTGACATGTATGTGGCAGTTATAATTACTCTGTTTAGATAGTTTTGAAAATGTATTTAATAAACCTTACATAACCATTTCAATAAAATTTTATTTTATTTTTCTCCTCCCTATAAGTTTTTACTTCGCAGTATCACTCTATATACCTACGGTTAATCTATGTGGTTATGGGTTGGCTCAATGTAAATATTAGCTCTAAACAAATAATAACGGCAAGTTCTTTGGAAGTGATGATTAAAATTAGGGTTCGTGCATTAGTAAGTGAGAAGACATCAATAACATTATGTTATTATATAGAAAAATATTTAAATATTCATTTTTTTTAGATTGGAGTTATGATTTTTCTAGGATACTTCTTGATTTATTTAGTTCGTTATAACCTAAGTGTGCATATAGTTGCTATGGCTCAGATAACAAAAAGAGAGGACAACGACGTATATAACGGTACCAATATTAAAAGGATCTCGAATATCATATCTGGGGTCAGTTAATTTCATTTAATGACATTTTTGTGTTAATTACACTTTCACTAAGCTCTTCCTTTAGCACGAGTAAGTTAATCTTATATACAAAATTGTCGTGTCACAATATTAGTTACCATACTCCGAAAAGGCTTGACTGAGTTATATGAAATTTTTGCAACCGAAACACAGTAACACAGAAGTTTGCTTGGCAACTGAAATAGGTGAGCCTGAGTTACGCAGACGACATTTTATAAAGTCTACCTCTAGGTAGGTGGAGACGCCTTCACTAAAAAGTAAACACTTTAGTACACAATAATATTCTATACTTTAAAAATGTAAGAAATTAACAATGATGTAAATCATCGTAATATTTTTTACAGAGTGTGTTAGACTTAATGAACTGGGATGACATGAAAGTGGCAAAGTTATTTTCAGCATACCACATAGGCTATTGCATCTGTTTCCCTATTTTTCACACTATTGGAGACAGGTAAACAGTTCAGACTAAAAATCGAAATTGGGTGGATGAAGATTTCATTATAATTACGAATATATTTTTTAAGTATCTACAAAGTGCTACTTAAATTTCATTTAACACAAGTTGTTCTGAATTGTGTAAAGATATACACTATGTGTATAAAATACCTATCTAAATATATTATATAACAGATTTAAGTAGCATACCTACATAAACAAACGCGTAGGTATAATACATACCTACTTGCACTTTCTCTCAAGAAAATGTCCGTTGGGTTTTCCTTGCTAAGTAGTACAACGACCTTTTTAATTGTTATGTAACATATTTGTGACAATGCGATTAAACCATTGTCCCTTTTGTATTTCAACACATATTACATTCAACGCAATAGAAACATCCAGAAGAAATCCAGTTATAGGAATGTGAGATCTTTGACCGAGTCGTCCGTGGCATAGCCTGACACCGGTACAGGTTGAATCATCTTTGCACGTTAAAATTAGCACTGTGTACCACAATGGCGCCTAAACCAGTTCACGTCACAGGCTCGGCCCTACATGGGTGGTGGGGATCGCCGGGATGACATCAGGTGTACTAAGCTGCCTCTCGCCAGCATCAGCGTACTATAGCTTTTGGGCTTTATTCTTTGTACGCATTATAAAAGGATTTTGCGCTGTAAGTGTATATTGGCGTATTCTCTTCGTTTTCCTTATACCATTTTGTTTCAATTTTGTTTGTAGTAGATATTTAAAAATGCAGCTTAAGTGCTAACACATGTTCCGCAAAAAAGCAAATGATTTTATTTCTGATATTGTGGCAAAGTATTTACTTTGACATGTACAGTTAGTTGTAATGGGTACATAGCCTAAACCGTTAGCATTCATGAACTTGATAGTTTTCCTTGATCAAAGTTTAGTCCATGATTATTTGTCAAAATAAGAAAATTGATATTAGAATCGAAATCATATCAATATGATGTTATTGAATCTCTTCAAAGAGAAATGTTTGTAATATACCTTCCTAACCTTCAATGGCATTAAAAGGTATCCTTATATGGGTAGAGAGGTATCACCTAATAGAGCCATCTAAATTATTTTTATGCGAATATATTACATTGCAAAAGTCAGTTTACTGGCCATAGTAATTCATTAAATATTTTCCTCAATGGACAGCATAGATTTTATTCAATAATAATCAATATTAACAGACACTACCAACTTTGTTTTGTTGGAGAAATTTGTTAGGCTGTATTTAAAATTAGTAAACTCTTGTATACACTTGCAGGGAGCCATGCAACCCAGCATGGTACAAGTATTAAGACATTGGGTACCACCTATAGAGAGAAATCATTTTATGTGGGCTTATTGTGGTAAGAATACAATTTATTAATGAATAAGCTACAAAACATCAATTCACAGTTTAGTAGATATATATATCTATAGGTTATAACAATTTACTACTATAATAAATTATATATTTAGTTATAAATATTAAATAAATTGTAGACCTATGAATATAATTTTGTACTAATGCTAATAGAGTTAGAATACAAATAGAAATATAAGTTAGTTTGTAATCGTTGCCTGTAAACAATATGAAGACCATCCTTCAGTGTCACCAACAGTAATTAAGTAAAAACTGATGTCATTTATATGAGCGCTTCTTTTTTCTGAAATAAAAGGTTAAACCTTATGTCAGTGTATACCGGAATGGTGTAAAAATTAGCTTTCCCAAGGTCTCATTCTGTATTGTTATCAGCTAAAATATTGACATTTATTTTTGGATTAGGTATATACTCAATTTAGACCTAGGTCTTACAACGACAGATTCATTATTCATTATAACTGTATGATTATACATAGTGTTTTCCAGGAATCACAACAGGAACATTTTCCACTTTCCTTATTTGCGCTGCGGTGCACTACTATTCTCAATGGCCTGTGGGTTTCTATATATCCGGCGGAATGCAAGTAATATGGTCAGCTTTATGGCTCTTTGTAGTTACAGACCGTCCCGATACACATACATATATTTCTAATGAAGAATTAACTTATTTAAGTAATACAATTGGAACAGTGTTCACAATTCAGGCAAGTTGAATATTTTCCCTTCAGCAGTCAATTACAATATTATAGTAAAAATACTATTCATTCCAATATTATAAATCCGATAGTGAGTCTGTTTGTTCCTTATTAAGACAAAACAATCGAAATGCTCCTATTAAAATATACATGAATATATATGTATTTTATCTAAAAAAAAACAAAGTCGCGGATACCTGTTGTAAAAAATATGAAAATGAATATTACTAAGTAATATTTAAACATTTCAGTTGACAAATTCTCAAGCGCCATGGAAATTGATATTAAAGTCTGTTCCATTTTGGGCCCTATGTATCTTAAACTTCGGGTACGCTTGGATGATTATATCTTTGTGTATTTATGGACCATTTTATTATTCAAAGATAGTCAAGTATAGCATTTACAGCGTAAGTATTGCCTAATTTTCTATACTTGTATAATTAGATGCTTTTCTTTCTTTTAGACGAAAATATTAAAAATACATACCATCAATGGGTCAAATCATAATGGGTAGGCATTATGATTTGACCCATTGATGGTCTCGGTGTATAACGGCTTAAGTACTTACTTTACTTCCGATGGTCGCGGGTTCGATTTCTAGCACGGTGCAAAATTTGTATTTTTGAGTACGACTGTTTGTATCGGTCTGGACGTTTTCTATGTACATTATGTATATATTTAAAAAAAAAATTATATCCGTTGTCCAGTTCCAATAACACAAGCTCTGCTTACCTTGCTTGTGGGACTAGATGCCGTTATGTTAATTGTCCCAGGTTATTTATTTATTTTATTTATGACGTATTCCATTATTATTAATTTAAATATAATTAATAATAGTATAATTGTACCTATTACGCAGGCTTCAGCGTTAACAGCTTTACCATTTTTCTGCCGGTTGGTGTTAGGTACTGTAGTGATACAAACATTTCACTGGTATAAACACAACGCTAAGATGAAAAGAATTAAACATATAAGGAAATATTTTATTGTTATATGTAAGTAAAAGGTAATAACTGTCAATAGGTTAATAAACCTTATTAAAATAATAATTACGGAGGTCTAGAACTGAAGATAATATTATTATTAGAGCACAGTATCTCATAAGCATATAATAGATGTTAATAATTAACGTATATGGGATTTTTGACCGTAAGTACTTTTCTGGGATGTAAAATATTCATTAGATATTATTTCAATATTATTTTGTAGCCACTCCAAGTAGGTTAAGCATCATATAAGTAAATAGATGTTTACCTCCTTCATTCGGTCTAGCCGTATACAGATAACTATTACATCTATGTGGACAACCATCAAGCAACAACGTTACGTTCCATGGTTCGATCTTTGCCTTAGAATAAGGTTAAACCTAGGTCATATTATACCTACTCCCATTTTTATAATCTTTGTATATACTCAATTAAATGTACAGACATATTATTATGAAGATAGCAGTTATATTATGAATAATTAAAAACCGAAATTAATGTAAATCTAATAAATTAAATTAATAAAGAAGAGTTTTAAACTTGACGCGGTCATTATTTATACGTATAATTAGTAAAAATCACGGGATCTTACCACGTTTTATATTTATTTGCTGAGTTCCCGATATTTCGGTAGTGTTTCAACCACCATGATCACGGGTAAACAAAATAAATATAAAACGTGGTAAGATCCCGTGATTTTTACTAATTATACGTATAAATAAAGAAGAGTTCTTAATATAAACTTTCGATACATAAAAAAATATGTAAAAGTGTAGATTGCAGTGTCACAGAGCAATAAAATAACGGCATAATACTTACTGCAATTTAAACCTACATAAAAATGATGCCCTTGTTTACTTTCTCTTTGAAATCAAATTCCGAAATAAATTCGCAATGTAGGTACTGTTAGTACATGGTTCAATGGCGAGTCTGCAGCAGGACCGATCCCGCGCTTTCTCCATTCCACAGTTTGCGGAAAAACACTAAAGAATTTAAGATCCCATTTATTAAAAATGTGGTTAATTATATAAATACTATAATATACTAAATAAAACTTTCATTGTCAGCCCACGTGATCCCAGGATTTCTAATATGTATCTGCTGGTTACTTAGCATAGTTCCTGGGCCTATTTTGATAACCATATCTGTTGCATTAACTGCGGCTGGTATGGATCTGACTCTGGATCTCTGTTATGTAAGATATTCTTATGGCTACCATATATTCTAATATTACGCGAAATAAATGGATATATTATATTTACTATACAATTTGCAGGAGTTAACGCCAACATTTGTCAATTCAGTGAATACAGTCATAAAAATAGTTGGAAATATGTCTGGAATTATTTTATCTTTCTGTGTTGGTCACGTTACACATATATATAAAGTAAGTTACATTACACATAAACATAAATATAAAGTAATTTTTTTATCACTTTATAGACATTTATATTAATATAATTGGATAATACTTAGTTGCCATAGTTGTTTGCTATTTATAGCTTAGGTAAAAATAAAATTTTAAGTGGGCAATAAAGAACAAACCTGTATGTTAATTAGGACATAGGCAATTCAGGTAAATTTGGAAATTAAGTCATAATTATTTCTTAATACTCGTATTAAAGTTTATGTCTAAATAATATGTTCAAATTTACAGGTCACATACTCTATTTTTTACTTAGTTATATTTTAGTCAATACAATGGTCGGTAGATAAATTCAGTCTTTATCATTAAAGATCACGAATTGAAATTTCAGAATATACCTCTTACGTGGAAACATATCTGGTGTTTTCACGCTTTGGTCTTACTCTTGAGTGGATTTATTTTTCTTATATGGGGGGAAACCCATACTCAACCATGGAATTTTCAAAGAAATAGGTAACTAATATTGTTAATTCTAGTAAGTACTGTTATAATATTTTTTCTTATAGGTATCTACGTAACTAATAAGGATGTATGTATTATTGCATAGATAAAAATTACAGTCATAAAATAATTTAGAGACTATGCGGGCAAAGATGGACTTATGCTTAGAAGAGATCTCTTTCAGTCTACTCAAAAAAGTGGCATAGGTGGTATTGAATGGGTATAATTGGTGCAAAAAAGAATACAAAGTCAAAAACTATAATAAGTATATAATTTAATGTACATCTTTTAATTATTTATTGTCTAATGGTGCACTCACCTGCGCTAACGGTATATGCTGGCAGGGCTCTAGTAGAATGTTTGAAGGTGATAATGTGAGTATGGAGTTAGGTCTGTTAGCCCATGAAACAAATTCATTAGGAAATAATCACAATGATTCCAATTGATGAAATAGGTATAATATGCAGGAAAGTTGTGTCTTCACACAGTCTAAACTTTTGCAATGTCTAGGTTTACAAATATTTATTTGTTGTAGGTAAGTAGGTACATTAATTATTTTGTTGCTTATAGAACAAAACGTACTTGTGCAAGAGCTGTTCCAAAATCTTCTATTATGTCTAATATTATGGAAGTGGAGGAAGATGATTCGTTGTAAGTTGCACTTAAGTACATAAATGAGACTTGCACAGTATTATGAGGTATAACGTTATTCTGTGCATACACCAATGTTAAACTGTTTGGAAAATATTTGTTTCAGGAATCGAACGGCGAATCAAACTAGAAATCAAAATGCATTTTTTAATAACGTTTTAAAATAAAAATTTATTGTGTTAATCGATCGACTTATTTTGTACCTACATTTTGTGTTATAATAGTTATTACTAAATGTATTTTTGTATGCCTTTGTATATTCATACTACATAAACATTTAGAGTTACTACAAATAAAGTCCCATAGATTTGGTAAGTGGCAGAAAATAATGACAATACTTGAAAGTCATGAGGCAATTTATGTTGTTTTATCACTTTGTAGCCATAAAGCTCGAGTAACTAACACTTTCTGTGAACCTATATAGCTTGGCTTGGGTAAAACTATTTTTAGACTACCCTCATGACATAACCTCAACTCCAATTTCTCTTCCACAGATGTAAAAATAAAATAAAAACCTTTTATACCATGTACGCTGTAGCACGGTGTGGGTAACAGTTTAATTAACGTTACGTTTCACTCCTTAAAATAATTAAATAACTTAAAATTAATAACTGTCAACCGCACCATGCCACGGCGCACACAGTATAGATTTCTACCACAAATTAATAAAGTGATTACATACTTTCCTGTTTTAAGCAAGTAATCACTACGCAAATCTTAGTAAGAAATTAGACAATTCTTTTAAGAGGAAAGAAGTAAATAAAAGATTAATAAAGCAATAATTAATTTAATTAAAAAATGTTCATTTTTTTATTGGCGTAACAACTTAAGGTCTGGGGTGAAAGGTAAAAAAACATTATTTTCTTCTTTGTGACAGTACAAGGGTGAATATATTAAAAAGAACAAAAAAACTGATACTAACTGACAGATTAAATGACAGGTTGACTTTTATAGTCGACGTAAATAAATGGATGTATTTGTACAATTTTGATTCGACTTCGATCTTTTCATTTTATTTATATATTTAATATATCGCTTTTAATAAAAAACTGAAATTGCATAATTTCTTGTTAATGTGGTTAGAATATTATTAATATTTGATTTTATATGACATAAAATACGGCTGTTAATAAAGACTTAGAATTTTTTTTATTGTTTATTTAAAGTATTTTAAAACCATTGTTTTATAATTTCAGATTGACTTCATAATCTGCTGCTTATTTTTGTTTAAATCTAGTATATGTTTTTTAACTAAAATGCATAGCATTGTCGAGTACTTTTCTGGACAGGAAGGTAACAAATGTGGTTACTGCAAGAGTCCAAATACTAATTTTAGCCATGGTAAGTCGTATATTTTTATTTTAAACGGTGTTGTCTTTCTTATATTCTTTCTAATATCATTTATAATGTTATTGATATTTTTAGTTTACTGATTAGGTATAATATATATTTAACCTATATCGTTTTGCATGCCATAGTATGGCATTATTTTTAATTCTATAGATTATAATTATTTATGATCATATTTCTTTTATAATTTAAAGAAAATCAGCCCACAATGCTGTTGCATTTTTTTAAATAAATTGCATTTAATAAGTAAACAACATAAACAACTAAAAAAATAAAGTGTTCAAGTGGTGTGATTAGAAAATAATATTTGATAACCAGTTTCAAAGTTAAATACAACTCAGTTAATTTAAAAATCAGTAGAATTGGGTACTTGTTTTCGGAGTATCATAGTTTTATTGATTTTTATGTCTATTTCTTTTGTTTCTATAGAGAAAAAAAATCAGTGTACTTATAAATAAGTAGCACTTGTCAATTACTTTGATATGAAATAAGAGTTATTGTTAATAATAAACTTTAGTTTTCTGATATTAAGAGAGAAATTTATTTTCTATCAATAAGAGTTTTGCATTCACTTAATAATGCCAGCATGAAGTTGCTATGACTTGAGTTACAAATGTTTAAATATCTACTTATATATATTTCCATCTAATCTATTGAATTGAATACATAGTACAGTAGTAGTACTTAGAAATAATTTATCTTTAATATCTTTAATGAAGTTAATACACCTTAAAAATATTTTATAACATTATATTGTTGATTAAATATGAAGTTGTAATTTTTCAAAATTAGGAGCTAGTATTACTTCCTTTTATATAAGTCAATTAAATTAACCATGCCGTCTTAATCATTAACTAGATACTTTTAAAATGATATATTATACTTCTGTGTAAATTTAAAATTAAAGGAAAAAATAAATTTAAAAACTTTAAGTGCTTGTCTACAAGACAAAAAAAAAGGTACATTTTGAATACTGGCATTTTTCTATTTAACAGACAATATGTAATTTTTTTTTTAATTTCTGATGTTGTTCTAGGTATGTGGGCACATGCGCTAACTGTAAGTGATTATCAGGACTTAATTGACCGAGGTTGGAGACGCTCAGGAAAATATTGTTATAAACCTACTATGGATGTTACTTGTTGTCCAATGTATACTATTAGGTATATGATTTAATATACATAAGTTATTATTTCTAATTATTATATTAACATTTTAATAACTTCATGTTATTAAAAAGCTCTGAGTAGCCTGACTGGGACTGGGAAGTCACACATGATTAATGTAAATGATCTATATTTTGAGGGATTTTTTTCTTACAATTACCTGTCAATCTGAATCTAACTATTTCTACTACAGCCTTATAAAATAAGTAGATATAATTTAATTATCCCACCATCTAATCATCAAATAAACATCAGTTTAAGAATTCTAATAGATAGAAGTAAACTGAGAAGAGCTTCATATTATGCTATATTTTCTGGCAAGTTATAATAAATTTAAAAGGCATCTCCTGATGACTATAAAGTTGAATATAACTAAAATTAATGTAGTCCTCTATAATATAATAATAATAAATATAATAGTCATCTATAATAATTGCAAACATTGCTTGCTGATAAGAATATTTTTAATATGTGTATTTAAACATTAAAGAAGGCTTCAGTATTTTCCCTAACATTAGCCATGCTTTAAATATTTTCGGCATAAGTTTTCCTTATCAATCTTTTTTAATGTTTACAGGTGTAAAGCCTTAGAGTTCAAGGCCACAAAATCACAGAAAAAAGTTTTAAAGAGATTTAATAAATATTTGTTGGGACCAGATAATACTGAAAAACCTTTAAGTAATGCAGATAGAAAGATGTCTACATGTAGTAGCTTAGAGGATAATATGGAACATTTGCAAGAAACAAGAGAATGTTTTGTAGAACCTACTCGTAAACATCAGAACATTGATGTTACCAATATAGTGATTGGTACTGAAGAGTCTGATGAACTGAATGTTGATCATGTATATAAAGGTGAGTAAATATAATTTTAATATGTAATATGACTAACTTTGGGCAAGGCTTTAGTGTATAAATGTATTGAATGCTGCTTTATTTATATATAAATATTTTTTTTTTCGATAATACACTTTGTAAGTAGTTGTCTGTGTGAGTATCTCTGTCTATTTATTTCATCTGCCAAGCAACTTGCTTTGAAAGCTGTGTTGAAGGTTGATATAAGAGAGAGCATGAGAGGTGTGACATTTTAGCCCCTCAGAATGGCAATATGTGAGGCAGCAACATGATACCATCATGGATGGACATCACATGATAATGTGATATGATAGTGCTATTGATGTATATAGTATGGTTACCATTTAGAGATTTGGTATTAATCAAATTTCAATAAAATGGACCTGCAGATAAATAATAAATCCTGATGAGAAAGATAGACAGAGGAACTTTCTAAATTATAACACAACATTAATATGACATACTGATAAATGTGCTAACTGAATTATTAATTTTGGAATGGTGCACCTGCTTACGCTAACTAGACTGATGGAGCAACAGTGGATGATAGAATGATTTATTAAGCAATTATTTTGGCATACTATAACCACGATGGTTTCCAGTGGAAACTATATGAAGGCCAATATAGCTAGTAATGAGGACTAATGTTTATTACTCTACTCTCCCCTAACTAAAAGAAACAGTAGGCATATAATGACTATATCTTCTATTAATATGATGATCCTGCACTGGTTTACAACTAACAATCTTATGTTAAACGCTAAAAAAACAAAATGTGTTAATGTTTCTCTGTCTAAAAGTTTTAATACTAATTGCAACATAAAATTAAATGACGAATCTCTGGAATTTATAGAATCTACTGTTTTTCTAGGAATCACACTAGATAATAAAACACAATGGGGTGCACAAATTCAAAGCCTTGCAGCGAAACTAAGTTCAGCAGCTTTTGCCGTGCGTAAAGTTAGACAGTACACTGATACTGATACTGCTAGATTGGTCTATTTTAGTTATTTTCATAGTTTACTTTCTTATGGAATATTACTATGGGGAAAAGCGGCAGATATTAAAAATATATTCATATTACAAAAACGTGCCGTTCGAGCGATCTACTGTTTGAAGAGTCGTGACTCATTAAGAGAGAAATTCAAAGAGGCAAATATTCTCACCGTTGCTTCTCAATTTATATATTCAAATATCCTATATGTTCATAAAAATCTTGACTTATTTCCAAAAAACAGCAATATTCATAATATTAATACTAGATTTAAAGACAAACTTGCTGTCCCCAAGTATCGTTTAGAAAAAGTTAATAGGTCTTTTATGGGAATAGGTATAAAAATTTACAATAAAATACCAAAGGATATGTTGGAATTACCCTTAAATAAATTCAAAACATCTGTTAAATCATATTTACTGAGCAAAGCCTATTACTCACTAAACGATTACTTGAATGACGAGTATGCATGGCAATAGTTGTTCATGCACTGAATTTTCATTTAATGTTAGACATGGACACCTATATAAATATACATTTTAAATAAACTGGCTTTAAAAAAAAAGGTAATTCAATTGAGTTTCTTGCCAGTTCTTCTCAATTGGATCTATATACCGAACTGGACGGTAGGTAAAAAAAATAAAATTAGAATGTAAAAATTTGACGTTCATAAGCGGCTAAAATGCCTTACATGAATAAATGATTTTTGAATTTGAATTTGAATTTGATCTAATTTTTTTTTCAGGGGATGCTTCCGCAGAATCAAGTTTAGAGTTACCGGAAGACATTAACCAGAAAGATTTAAAAATAACTTGTATGTATAATTGCATATTTCTTCTATTTCATTTCAACTACTTGAATTAGACAGAATTCATTATCTCTTCAACTTGGTGTATAAAAAACATCTAATTAATATTTAGGATTTACAGGATAAGAGGCATGATATTTTCATCCCTTTGAATGTGATGTCTGTTGTGTATATATAGGCGACTGTTACCGCTTAATAAAGGTGATGACAATTATTTTGTTTTCCTAAATGAAATAAGCTGCAAGGACTATTTATACTCCTCCCAACATATGTGATGATTTTGGCGAAATAATGGTTAACACTAGAGCGATACATTAATATGATTGTTTCTATAGTCTCTGGTTGTTTTCTATGTAAATTATTTATATTTATAAAAAGTATTTAATTTTTTGTCTAGGTTCTGGGCCTGATCCAACAAGAGCACCGTGTAAAAAAGCAAAGCAAATAAGGCGCGAGAGGAAGTTAGAAAAACTCAAAGAAAAAGGTATTGATATAACAACTGTGAAAAATACCAACAAAAATAAGGAAAAACAAATAGAGGACTTCATAAATGATCTGCCGGATGACATTATACAGAAGTTAGAGGTATGTTATTGTTTTATGTTTTTTGTATGGATTAATTTAATTTGAAATAAAAACATTTACTTTGTAGGTAAACAGGTAAAGCTTGCATTAGTGGTAGTAGAAGTTTTTTTTCTATGTATAATATGTATGAAAAAAATATATATCTATGTATTTGTATCAGTTAACTAGTACCCATAACACAAGCTTTAGCTAGCTTAACTTGGGACTGACCTGAGTATATTATTATTATATTAACTTTTATTGTTATGTGTATATGTATATTTTTTTTTATTGAGTTCATTGGGCTATTGTCAGGTGCATGGATCTGTAGCACTGCGATCTATATAGATCTATTGTGCTGGCCCTTTTTAAAGCTCGCAACCTAGACCCGTCAGGGACAAGAATTTAAGGATACTTTTATTAGCGATGGTTTTTATCTCCTCAGGAAAGAGTGTAAACTTTCCAAAGGAGATATTTCGTTTATGCATGAGTGTAGTTGTACCACATAGGATGTGTAGTGGCGTTTCCTTTTCAGTTTGGCAAAATCAGCAGATTTTTGTTATATAGGCCTAGGTTTGCCATATGTTTGTTTATTTTGCAGTGTCCTGTGAGGGCCCTGGTCAATATTTATTTAGTAGTATTCATTATTTCAGATAAGGTTGGTACGTACCACGCCGCCCAGTTCAGAATGGTTGGCAACCGCTAAAGAGACACATCAAGTATATGTCAAGTATCAGACTGTTATACACAATGATAAGCCACAAAAGTGTCAGGAAGAGAAGTTTCAAGATTTTTTAGTGAAAAGTCCTTTACTAGTATGTATAATAATATTATTTTATTTTCCCTTCATAAATATATATGTATTTATACTGATAATATAAGTAAGGTGCAAAACTGAGTCAGTGTTCTGTCATTTTTTATTATATGAATTATAGTAACATTTATTAAAAGCTTTTTAAATTATATGTCTTATTATTTAAATCTATAACTCATTAATTACTTAATCCGTATAATTGTTGTCCACTATCTGTGCTTTAAAACTTTTACATAATTAATATTGATTGACACATTTTTGCACCGTGTTTAAAAACATATTTGGGTTCGAGTATGAATATGTTTAAACTTATCGGGAATAGTGTAGAGATCCAATTTCGCTTTGTTTGTTATTCAGTTTAAATTGATACATCACAGTGAACGCTTTTACTTCATACATATATTTTCGATACAGTCATGAAACCGATTACAAAGAATATTGTAGAATATGTTAAAGAACTCTTTAACATACATAAGTAACTACTTAAAAATGGAAAATCGGCAAGATATATCGCTCAAGAGTTAAATGTTCGTCAATCAACGATACAAAGAATTAGAGCCAAGTGTAAATTTTATATACCAATTAATGTGGAAGTCGTACTAAAAAATTATCTGATAGAGACGTAAGAAAAGTTATTCACTATTTAAGATCTGGTGAAGCGGCTTCAGCTTCTGTAGCGGTGGCGCTTTTAAAACAAGACACTGGCACGTCGGTGAATAAGTGGACTGTTCGTCGGGCATTACATAAAGCTAATATGCGAGCTGTCGAGAAGAAAAAAACCCTATTCTTACTAAAAATATATTAAAGCTAGAGAAAAATTCGCGAAACAATATATTAACTGGACTGGGGATGATTGGATGTGGGTTATTTGGTCGGATGAGACGAAAATTATTGCACAGATGGTAGAAAATGGAACTGGAAAAAAGAAGGTGAACCACTACAGGCAAAAGTCTTTATACAAACGGTGAAACATGGTGGTAATATTAAATTGTGGGGTTGTATGACAGCTTATGGCGTCGGACCTATTTACAAAATCGAATGGAATATGAATGCAAAAATGTACCACAATATTCTTAAGACACATATGTTAGAAGCCATTAAAAATATGGCCTACCCACTAAGTGAAATAATATTCCAACATGATAATGACCCGAAACACACATCGAAAATAGTAAAAAATTGGCTAAATAAGCATCCTGATCATCTCAGAGTCCGGATATTAATCCAATCGAAAATCGATTATGGGCATATGTACTTGAAAAGCATGCTTTTAAATCAATATGTAGCACCACCATCAAACTTAAACATTTTATGGGAACGTGTACAAGAACAGTGGTACCAAATTCCACCAGAGTACTGATGTAGATGTAGATGTAGGTTGGACTCCATTTCCGCAATTGGCCTCTCATTCGGGCCGTTGTGCGTGTAGAGCCAGGCTACTAATGTAGCCAGCCAAGCTCCTCCCAGAAGCGCAGAAGTCTCCTGGTGTCTTCGCAGGCTTCTCGGAGCGACCTCACCGTTCCGAGGATTTGATTTCGTTGCGTGGTCACTGCTTCGCACTCCAGGATTACATGAGCGGCCGTTTCCTCGGCTACAAAGCAGCCCCGGCATAGGGGACTGTCTGTAGCACCTATTGTGTACAAATGTTTACAAATTATCATTGTTTTTATGTTATGCCTGTCCAGATTTATTAGGCGTTTTGTCATTCTTTGATTTGTTCTAGGAATTGCCACTTTTGATTGTTTGCAATCGGTGGTTTGTTTCCATCTTTTGTTTTGTATCTCAGTGGATCTTTGGCGAATCCAGGATCGAAATTGTGAGAATGGTATTGGCAAAAACGGGGGGGGGGGGCTGCTACCGTCATGCCTGATCCTCTTCTTGCCAATTCGTCCGCGGCATTATTTCCATATGATCCACTATGCCCTTTTATCCACTGGATGGTTACACCGTTGTGCTCTGCCACTTTGTCCATGATATTGTGACATTCGATTATTAATGTGTTGTTTGATTTCCTGTTCTGTAGTGCTTTTAGCACGGCAGCACTGTCCGATATAAATTTTATGTTGAAATTATTGACACCTAACTTTTGCACTGTTCGTGCTGCCTCAGTCAGGGCAACGCATTCACATTGGAAATTCGAACTGTGTGGGCCGAGTGGTATGTATAAGTTCATGTTGAGGTCAAGGGAGTGTGCTCCTGCTCCTGAACCGTTATGTGTTTTGGAACCATCTGTGTATATGCGTAGTTCATTTACAGCAGATTGATCTTGTTCCTCCTGATTCAATTGTATCTGGTATTTCCTGTTAAATGAGTGAAGTTTGAGTTGTATCACACGGAGCTGCAATCAAAGGTTCGTATTCGATTGGTTGTTTCAGGATGTGAGTGTGAGAACTATTATGGTTTTTGCCCCATAGACCAAGATGGTATAGTCTTATGGCAGCTATGGCTGCCTCCTGTTGTATGTACAAATCGAGGGGTGTTATATTGAGGGCTATTTCAATTGCTGTTGTTGGGGTAGTTTTCATACATCCCGTGATTGAAGAGCATGCAAGTCGTTGAAAGGACCTTAGTTTGTTGACTGTGGTCGTGAGTTTCGACCTTGTCCTCCAAACCAAGGCCCCGTACACGAGCATTGGTCTTATCACTGCTGTGTATACACACCACACACAGCACACACCAGAGTACTGTGAAAGACTTGTGAAAAGTGTAGAAAACAGATTGTATGCCGTTAAAAAAGCAAAAGGTCTTTGTCTTTGGTCTTTACCAAATATTGAAATTCTGAAATCAATATTTTTGTTTCACTGGTGCAAAAGTGAACCAATTGTATTTGCGATAATCATAAACCAAAAGTATGTTTAAGCTTATCAGATAGTCGTAACTAAAGTAATAAATAAATGTAGTTTTTAATACCGTAATTCGTTTATTATTTAACAATTAATTCTAAATTTTTTACGCTACTTTTTATGGAAATGTTAAGTACTGACTCAGTTTTACACCTTACTGTATATCTCACAACGTACTTCTACTGCAGCCAGCAATCGGTGGCTGTACTAATATACAATATACACCTATTTTAGCCGCCAAGCAGCTTACTTTGTACTTTAAAGTCTTCTAGAGGTACCTACTCAGAATGAGGTACCAAAGTAGTCAACTTTTTATAATCTAACATTTTGAGATTGACATGTGATATGATCATATTAATATAATACTTTTTTTTAGGAAGAAAAAACAGAGACAGGACCACCTTGTGGCTATGGGTCTTTTCATCAGCAGTACCGGTTGGACGGCAAGTTGATTGCTGTAGGAGTTATCGACATATTGCCAAAGTGTGTTTCTTCAGTTTATTTCTTCTATGACCCAGAGTATATGAATCTAACATTGGGCACTTATGGAGCACTCAGGTATTTACTGCTTTAAAATTATATTTAACCTGATTTTTTTATTTTTAGATCTATTCACGATATTTTACCGACATATAATTGAAGTCATACTATAAACTTATTTTATTTCCTGCTCTGTTAATGAATCTTATATAAAGCTAGTTGGAATACATTTTAGTGGATTAAAGCACAAAAATTTGAAACAAAACTATTCTGCTTAGAATCTTCAGATCATCAATCAAAGTAATATTTAATATAATTTACTGCGACCTGTGCTTTGTATAAAAGGTTCACACTTCATCTTGTTAATATAGTTAAACTGGTTTTTATCTCGTGACCACGGCTAGTGCAACCTAGTCGAGTGTCGAGAGAGGTAAACCTTTATTTGCCATCAAATTATTCATGTTAAACGAAAAAGTTTAAAAATAAGTTTTCTTTTGAATTTTTATTATTGCTGTATAGTATTTGTGTGTGAAAGAGTGTACATGTAAAGTCAGTAAATATTTGGCTGACATTTACTTTTTTTTGGTCCTCACTGTAATGTGATGTTTTAAGAGATATTTTTTATGTTTTTAGAGAGATCGAATTCACAAGACGATTAAATTCAATGGCTCCTGAGTTGAAATATTATTACATGGGGTTTTACATCCACAGCTGCATAAAGATGAGGTACAAAGGCAACTTTTTTCCTTCGGATCTTCTGTGTCCTGAGACCTACCAATGGTTTAATCTAAAAGACTGTATACCTAAGTTTGAGTCGAGGCCATATTCTAGGCTAGATACTGATATAGACAATATTGACGGAAATTATCCTACCGATAAAGATATAAATTATATACCTGTTTCTGTCAGAGGAAATGTTTGTCTGTATAAAACATATAGAAGAATCTGTAAAATTGGTCAGAAAAATGATGATGACAAGGAAGGAGTCACAGAATATGCTCAATTAGTTGGCGCCAAAATGGCGAGAAAGTTGATTTTAGTTAGAGAAAATATATAGCGTTTTATATTCAGAGATAGAGAAATTGGAAATGTATTATTTAATGTAGAATTCATTATTACTTATGTTGTCAACCGGGTCTTAACACGTATAACAACAATAACCTCTCTTGACGTTTCGACTAGGTTGCAATAGCCGTGGTCACGACCTGACTGTAGTCAGCGATGTCAATATAGATAGGTGTCAACAATTTTGTTTACTACCGACAGATTGTCCAATGAAAGATCGCGACACACAGCACTCACGGTATCCGTACACTTATTACGTGTCATCATCACACTTATTGACTTTATTTATGACTGAATCCAGTTAAGTTGAAGTCATCTTTTCTGTTGAAAATGGGATATTTTTTTATTTCAATCGTCTCCCGTACCATTCGTGTGTAATAGTGGAGTAGAGAGGACCTTATAGTCGTATTTTTAATTAGACGAAGTCAACTGACGTTTACTGTGTTGTCAGTATTTGATGAAATAAAAATAGTGTTGTGACAAAGTGAATAATTGAAAAAACTCCTGAATTAATGCAATTGCCTCGATTGTCTAGTTTAGTGAATAGTTAGTCCGCCGAACTGCCGATATCGGGTACGAGTTTTCGACGACTACCTATAGTATATACCTGTACTGAATACCGAGTATTTTAAACATAAAGAAAAAAATTGCGAGGAAACTTTTAAGACTGTCCTAATTACAATACATCATGTAGTTGAAACTATAGATGTATAAAATATAACAATATATAACATAATATAGTTAGGTAATAAAAATAAAAAACTTCGCTTATTACAAAATTTGTTTTTATTCATCATCAGATAAAAAAATCATTGTCACTTTCAGCGACATTAATTATAAATCTGTCTGAAAATTTGTCAATAATTTATCTTTGAAACAGTGTTTCGGTCCACGTTTCTCCGGAGACTTAAATTGTTCATTTTCTTTGTGTTCTTTTAATACATTGTAGATTGAGGTCACACCAATTCCCAAAATGTCAGCTGTTTTCGAAATACATTCTTTTTTTTCAGGAGCCTCAATAGGTAATAGTAAAGCAGCTTTCGCCTCAAAGACGTGTTTGTAGACGTATTGTCTCATAAGTTTTTCGGTAACGCTTAAAGCAATCCATAGTCTCTTCTTTCTTAGAGACAAGCGTTGGCTTGACGTGTTTGGTTGAGGATCCATACTGTTTGTACGAAACAACATAGCAAATATACAATAAACAACAATTACCTCAAACACAACATAAAGAAAAACTTAACAAAACAGCGTGAGCGCAAAAAAACGTGCTCTTAGACCAGAGGTTAGAAGCCGAATTACGAACAAAATCGCTCGCGACGTTGATCGGTGTTGGCACTAGTAGCCGCGCGCTTTGTAATAAGCCGTCAAAAAACTGATTGTAGTTACATACCACTAGTAACTTATATCAGAGCACATTTATACAATTTTATTGTAAAATAGAAATAATATTCTTCTGTAGTTTGAAATGATTAAACTATTCACACTCATTGTTCATTCATCTGACCGAGAACTGAACGCATCACTATTACTTTCAATATGGCAACATTATTTTACATAGTGACATTAGCTACTGTCAGTTAGCTTCGTCTAATTAAAAATACGACTTTAGATGCATGCAATTCAATCCAGTGATTTGTTCCAGCGTTCAGCAGATGATGGCAAATTTTGGATGGTTGTCGATTTTTACTGCTGCGATATGCTCTGCAATTTTAACTGCAGTAAGGAAAAGCTAAGCGTCTACAAAATTTAGACGCTTAGCTTTTCCTTTGGAGAACGTAAATTGTTCGTTACTTTGAAGGCAGATACTATATAGTCTTAATGGAGTATTTATTCAGTGCAGTTCCAGTTTTATCCGCTATTCCTCTTATGTGTGTCATGTACGCTGGTTGTCTGTTCACTTTCGGTTTCTTAGCTTCTATTACGTGCTTACGTTGCCGTCTACTCATTATGTACCCGTCTCTCTTAAGCACTTCATGAACGTTCTTCATCCATACATTCAGAGGCACAGAGATCTTGCGCTTTGATTATGAGTGTAATAACAACTGATTGTAGATGTAGCGTGTGGTGGAGTAGAGACATGAAGGTTTTTTCTTTCGATCGACAGTCTAGTGACGGTAGTAGGTAGGTAAAACTGCTGACAGCTATCTACATTGACATCGCTGTTACTCCAGTCAGCTCGTGACCACGGCTAGTGCAGCGTAACCTTTATTTACTATAAAATTATTCGTGTAAAGACCCAGCTAATAACATAAATAATGTATATTAAATAAGACAGTTTAAGAAATCATTATATTAAAAAACAGATTAGTTAATTTAATTTTTTTTTAACGAGATCCCAAATATTCTTTATGTACGTATGCAGGTAGTACATATTTACCTAAAATCCTGTTACGTACCTATCCGAAAATGAAATTAAAATTATTCAAACAATTTAATGAAGTTACATTATTGTATACTTATACAGTATAGTGATTAACGCTTTTAATTGACAATGTTATTTGACATACAAATAGTAAGTAGCGTCAAATTTCAGAGTACAGAGAAGAATTGATATGGGTAAATAGGTACTTAATGTAATAAATATTATATGTGATAGTGAAATTACTAGGTAGTCATCTGATTTGATCATATAACTGTGAAAACGTTCAACTGATGCCTCTGGTGTTTAAATGTGCCCCGGTATACCATACTTTTTGTTTTTAGTGAATTATATAATTGGAATGCCAAACAATTTTATGGCCCACCTGATGTTAGGTTAGTGTGGTGGCTTGCGTTGATACCCGGCAGGACTAAACTGTCTTGCCACCTTACAATTATAGCTGTTTAATAAGCTGCTGAAGGCTATTTTTAAATCATATATTATCAAATTTTCCTTTAATTTTAGATAATTTGTAATCACTAGTCACGTGCATATCGTCTCATTTGATTGTTAATATTCTTAAAAAGCTTAGCTTTGAACGTTGTTAAAAATTAGTGCGAATATTGAGAGAAATGCATAATCATATAAATTATAAGAATACATTATAATGGCGTGGAACAATAATTAAGCATAGTATGTAGAATTGTCCTATCTGTTGCCATACAGTAATACGTGCACCGGTTTGCGTCCAGGAGACTATAATACTTCAAATTTATTCTTAAAAACTATAGTTTTATACAATGTAATATATACAGTTCCTTTGCATTAATAAACAGGTGAACAGTGTTTAGTTTGTTTAGGTATACACAGCAGGATTATGTATATACTGGTAAATACATAATCTTTTTATTGTTAATACAATAAAACGATTATGTATTTACTGTCTGATATTAGAAATTTTTGCCACGAACCCCTTCTTAATTAAATTATCAACTCTACCTTCTCTCTTCCTACACTTTTTCTATATTATTATGGTTCATTTGGAAATGCATTTTGTAAATAGGTAGTTTTGAAATGTGTACCCGATAAAAATAATTTTGTCCATAGTTTCATTTTTTATAGTAGTATATGCTAAATATTCACTATTTGCGAAATTTACTCAGGACAATATATTGTTGTGAGTATCTAACAGTGTAAGTAACTACCTATTTCAGGTGTAAGTGTACTAGAATAGCAGATCTATTAAAATTACCTGATTCCCTTGAATATTTGAAATGTGTAAAATATATTAATTTTAAATATTCATTTTCTCGTTCTCAGGCGTACATTTCATTATTAAATATTATATAAAATTGTCAAATATATATTAGGATTTAAATGAATTAAAAGATTACAAAAACAATATATAAATGTCAGTTTATCTCACTGTGTTATGTATGATATTAAAAGGACATTTAACAAATTTATATACTGATAAAATCTAGCCATGATCCTATATATTTGATGATGTAATAATCGCGTTTATTTTGATAAGAATCCATGTACTTATTAATTCATCTAATATTATTTCTATAACATTGTTTTTTTTTTAAATTTTAAGTACGCGTTGTCATTAATCAATCATACTTGTGAAGTGCAGAGAATAACTGTTTTCAAAACTCTGCATTATTCATATTTTTTATTTTTTTCTTAGTGTAATTTCTTACTACGTCAAATTTATAGTGTTCGACTGCCATCATCTATTAATCTCTCTTCATGAAGTACATCATGTTTTGTGTAAAAAAAACCGGGTGATTTCATTAATAAATTGGTATTAATGTTATTTGTCTTTTATTTGTGTTTGTCGTGTGATGTTATCACCTCAACTATGGCTTTATGATTAGATGCCGATACTTAATTTTTTCTTGTCGTACGTAGGTAGTGAGTATACAGCCTATACAACTTGTACAACTTGCCCGTATCTTGTACAACTTGCCCGTATAATACGCAAATAAATTTCATTTCATTTCATTTCATTTGTACAACACCTTTATAATACAAGTGTTGTACATTAGGATATTTATTAGATATTATTAGGAGGTTTATTAGATAGTGTTCTACATGGTTTATAAGACACCCACGTTACGTGTCCGCGGTGAATGTACTTAACGCGGACACGTAACGTGGGTGTCTTATATCCAAAAAAGATCTGTTATATGGAGATATAAAGAAATGGAAGGGTGCCGAGTGTTGTCAGAAAGATAATAAGTACATGTAGGCACATATTAATTTAAAAGTAATGCATTTCAATTATATTCAACAAGTAGGATGCAATAATAATTTTTTAAGCTTTAATAAAGTAATAATGACATGATGTAGGTATGTCGTTGTTTCGATGCAAGTGCCGAAGCACGACGACTCTACCCAAATATTTTCAATATCGTTATTTGATAAAACTAATTGTAAGAGAATTATAGCTAAAACAGGATTCGAGAAGATTTATTATACTTATAACTCGTTCTTTCGCTAATAATTTGTTCTGAATTGGTAAATAGTTCGCGTTTCACAATGAATCTAGATGGGGAATGCAAACGAAGTTGAAAGGATAACGTTTAAGTACCTTATTTACTCATCGAGTGACGAATTAATTCAACCGTTATTCATGAATTAAGTTACTAAGCATGCCTTGACAACTACAGTATTATCTAGTAAGACCATTGACACCGGTCTCATCATTTGCTATGAACCACAGTCGTGCTCAAATTAACATGTCGCTATATGGTTGCCAATACAATTGTCATGTATGTTCTTATGATATGTAATATTATCTTATTGGTGGTGATACTGACCAAGAATCGATGTACCAACAGGTAAGTATTATGCATTTAAAAAAAATTACTGTCATAGAATACATGAAATGCAACTTTTTTACAGGGTCATAAATGAATTTGAGTAATTTATCAATCATATGAGAGATAAATAATTAAATGTAATAACCATTTATTTATTATGTAACATAGTACATATTTATATAGTTTATGAATATAAATAATAATCTTTTTATCCACCGCCTACGACCGGCGCAAAGGAAACATTGTACCTACGTGTATTATATTATTTTAGTCAGTTGTTTACAGATAAAATTCAAAGTATATAGTTCTTATTTTAAATCGACAGAAATAAAGGGCATAATATAAGTTTACAGGGGAGAAGTATTTTTAGTACCAGTTTTATTATCTGCTGTAGCTATTATCTACATATTGTTCTTGCACCTCGACAGCTATACCTACATCGCAGCATTTGTTTTTAACTCAGGATTGCCCAATATGGAATTGTCAAATACATTTCTAGGTAGTTCTGTTATAGCATTCATTAGCATTTCGTTTATAGACATAGCAAATATGTGATATGTACATTTGATAGGTAATTTTATATAAATATATCCACGCAACTTCGTCTGCATCATAACTACTTCACATTTATAATATATTTCGCCCAATTTACATATCTAATTACATATCTTTTAAAATTATAGCCTATGTGTTATTCTGATGTATAAGCTATACTGTAAAATTTTATCAATATCCGTTCAGTAGTTTTTGCGTGAAAGTGTAAGAAACATCCATACACACTCACAAACTTTCGCGTTTATAATAGATATATTTAAGAAGTAAGATTCTCGTCGGAGACAGCTATATATATGTATATTGTATATACTGACTACCTGATTGTTAAATATTAGTATTATTAATTGGCTGCATGGAGCACCGAGGCTGTCATGGGAGGAAGGCGCGCGTGGCAGAAGCCTGACACGTATTAACATTCTGCGTAATATGCTTTCCCTGGCCTTTGGATCTTGGTAGTTATTATAACTATCGGGCACCATAGTCCTCATGAGTTCCAATGCACGGGTGGTAACTACTACAGTCGTCACTCGTCACTCGTCACGGAACAAAATAATGATGTCCATCGTACTTAACAAAGATTTAAAAACATACAGATCATACATAATATAGGTACATAGAAAACACCCAGACCGATATAAACAATTATACTCATAAATACAAACATTTTTACCGTGCCTGGAATCGAACCCACGACTATCGCAAATAAAACGATGTGCTAAAACGCTAAACCACCGAGGCCGTCAAATATAATAATGTGATCTATAACATTTAAATTTGCAAATACTGTGGAATGTGGAACCTATTGATTTTAGATATGATGAACCAGAACTCTCACTACTACACTTCTTCTCTTGTACATTACCTACTGTTTTGAGATCATTTGGTGTCAGAGATTGTTGCAAAGACCATATTTAAAACGAATTAGTAATACTAAGTATTTTATTTTTAAAAGCTGTGTTCATTATTCATACTAATATTTTTGTAACTGTAACCGAAGAGTGCGAGGCGAGTTGCTGTGCATCATTAGTATAAGGCATGTAATACAGGTAATGTAGGTATATTTTTAAGTGCTTAATAAGGCCTATATTGGCGCTTTATTTGTACAGGGAAAGGTGATTTGGCGAATTTTCAAGTGGGTAATACGTACCCAGCGACAGCCACTTTAATGCTTATTGACAATCGGATGTTTGGAACGGCACGCGAAATAAGGCCTTCGCAGAGTGCACTTTGCGGATCTGGCCAACGGCAACGTTAGCGAAGGCAGTCGCAGAAAGACGTGCGCGCGCGCAACCCGCACGCGTCAACGGTGAGTGGTAACAGTGAATACAGCATCCACGCGGATAATTTGTGTTTACAAACGTGTTACGTGCGCGAATCAAAATGAAATTTCATATAAAGGCATTTGGTGAGTAATTATTTTTAAATTATCTTTATTTTCAGTGTTATAGAAGTACGTTATGTCAGTTTGAATATACAACTACTTAAAAGTTATTTAAAAAAACATCTTACTGCTTTGATTGTAATCAATGAGATAATATCTATTCCGACCTTGATTATGTCTGTGTACATTGAAATGTGAAAAGACGTTTATTTTAGAGAAGTACCTATTTGATGGGTACTCCCACCCATTTAAGGTAATTACCTATTTACATACATACTCAAATATCAAGCAAAATATTCTTTTGGTGCCAACGTAAATTAGTATTCGTAAATAAATTACCTATATTTTTCTTTTGTTGATAGATGCTGTATTAAGTACAATTCTACCATATTACAAATGTAATCATTAATAATGTACATATCCATTAAATAACATTTAGTACTGTATTGTCCCGACTCGGTAACAATAAATGACGAAGTTCGGCTCTAACAGTTAGTGACTTTATAGGCCTGTAGGGAATCCAAATGCTTGTAATTATGATTAGTATAACGCGTTGGTAAACAAAATACAGCACTTATTTATCTAGACAGAATTACTGACATAAATATTTTTAGTATCTATACCTATGTACATATGTAACGGATGATAATGGAATGTTGCACCTGCCTAAACTAACGGTTTACGCTGGCGGAGCACCAGCAGAGGGTTCTAGGATTCCCATTACTAACAATACCCTTTCCACCTATGTTTATCTGAAATTAGTTCTGATTTAAGATTAACATATTATATATAATAAACTATTTGTATTTAGTTATTTGGTGTTAGATGTCGTTATAAGTAAATACCTATTTATGTGCGTTTGTAGCGTGACAAATTAGTTAGGTAGAATATTTCATATCTAAAAAGTTAAACTAATGTTTAGTTAGTTTAACTTTACATTGATCTTGTGCCTCAATGTTATATTATTATAGTTATATAAAAGTAAGGTAATATTTTATGTATATAAAAATATATGAATACGTTTAAAAATGTAATCTCTCGATATTTACATCTGATGAGACTCTGAAATCACTCAGAATCCGGACACAGTGCTAGTGCAATCTTGATTAGCACAAGCGTAAGACGTAAATCTTTAAAACTACTTATAACCACTGCGTAATTTTGATCTGAACCAGTTTTTGTATTTTTCTGCGAGAATAAAGTATTTCCCCGATTCAAGTGTCTTAAATGGTTATGTTTTATTATATATTTATTTCGCTATCAAATTTTATCATACTCTGTATATTAATTTTCTTCTACGAATTTAGTAGATGCATAGATACGTCCTGCTTTGCTGACATCGTCAGTATCTACTACCTTTTTGTTGATTTTGTCTTTTTTGTGAGTTAAAATATAGAGACAAGGAATCTTTATTTGGGACTAGGTAATACAACTGCCCATTTATTAATCAGTTAAGTATATCTTAGCTGTACAACCCAAAACTTAGTGTTGTTCCCCATGTAAAAATACATTTCAGAATATGTAATTTATTTTCTTTCCTTATTTCCTATTATCCAAAAAATTCTACGTATATTTGACCTACATGGAGTATGTAGGTCAAATATACGTAGAATTTTTTGTGCGCATATTTTCCTCCTTGCACCTTGTAACGAAGGTAAGAAGTTGTAACAATAGTAGAAGGAAACCTACTGAAGTTTTAAACTTTTAATTAATACGATAGTTGTAATTGAAATATTAAGTTTTGGATCAACAATAATAATCAAAACGAATATTAGGTATATTTTCTATTAAGGCATACATAATTATGATAAAATTAATGCTCGTGCGGAAATTTATACAGCCGCGTTTAGTTATTATGAGTAATTAACCGTGTAACCTTGAGTATTGTCTGAAGTTTTTACATCAATTTACAACGTAATAAATTAAATATGGGATTCTATAGGAAATTAAACTTAAGGATCCAATGGGAAATATATGTAGATATACAAACTAACATTATAGGTACCTACTTATATAGAGAAAGACATATCTATTTTTACATTTAGTTTTGAAAAATATTAAAATTTCCAGTTCACGGCAGTACTGTTACTCTTTTAATATACCACACATATTTTCACTGTTTCTTAATTAAAATATAAAGAAAAAATAAAACACACTTCATTTTGTCTCTCTTTACCGGGTCATAGTAGGAAAAGCTAATACTCATACATATATTTGTATACAAATTTGATAAAAAGATCAGTTATCTTAGTGATATACAACATGATAGATACTGAAGAAACTATTCAAGTAATGTAAGCAAATAAACATCGTCTTATTCTTCGTGCATTTATGCCACAAAGTCTCAAATACGGATACAATGCCTAGCTAATGTTATCTTATTGTAGTAAATCATCAAACAATTTCATTTTTAAATAGTTATCTCATTTTATTATCTACCGGTAAAGTACTTTTTCTGTGGGGTCTTTAAATAATAATAAAGTATGTGAGTACTTTATTTAATTATTTATTGTCAATTTGAAATATTGACAATAAATAACGTATTCATAGTAACTCGTATATATAAAATTAAATTATCTGTAAATATCATGATATATTAATGAAATAGTAAATTAATCGTATGATTTAAAACATAACCATATATATATATAAACATAAGTACTTACACAGGTAGATCTACAAAGCCTTCAAAAGCGAACAGTTAGAAAGGTAGGTATATCCAAATAGGAAGTACTGCGACAGTATTGGAATTCAATTTATATGAAGGTTTATTGAGATAAGTCCGTACCATACTTCGCGGTAGATACGTGTGTAGGTATTTATATTGCATTTGATTATCTACATTTCAGCTACTTACAGTTTCTAATTTATGTCGGAGGGAATGCCATTTTTCCTCTGAATTGATAAAATTGATTAATTGACCACATAAAGTACCTAGGTTACACGCTGTACCTCCTTGTTAAACTTAAAGAAAAAAGTAAATTGTGGAAATTGATATAAAATACTGTTTTTTTTTATTTACTGAAGAAATATAGGCAATACACACTTGGCACTTTGTAAATATAGTACAAATTGGTAAATATGTACTCATATACCTGAAGTCAATGAATCTCTTTATTTGTATATAAGATTAAATAAAAGTGTTGTTCAATCAATAATTGTAGTGGAAATATTTGTAGTTATAGGTTCAACAAGATTTTTTGTGTTTTTTTATTGTGATAAAGCCCCGGATAATAATATAAAGGCTTGCTACTATTTATTTGCACACGACATTTTTTATTCGTTTACGGGACATGATATAAGAATGCAAGTGATCATAATGCACACGTTATGATCACGTAACAAAACTTCCAAACTGAGAACACGATTCTAAACCTGTTGTAATGAAATTAGGGACAAAATTTATTATTAAGTATATTATGAGAGCGAATATTGTACAGGCCCTAAACCTGAACTGAGAATCTGAGTATTTTTAGGGCCTGTACAATATTCGCTCTCAACCCACTGATAGGTTGCGATACATGGCTTGGGAAGCACTGTAATAAAGCGTTTTGTATTTGACCATTGAGGTACGTGTTTGTCCTTGCTCTATGTGTAAATTGCACGGTGCCGATCAGAACTCGAAGTTCAACACTGTGACAGAGATGGTCGTTAGTATTTAACCACGGACTATTATTGTTGTAATAATGGGCTGTGAATATACTTGTGGTGATCTTCATTACTCTAATATAGCATAAAATGATGAATTTTAGGTCTTAAAATGTTAAACTAAATAAATAACCTATTATATGGTCCTTGGGTGTCAACCATGCAATTGTGTGTAGAGTTTGTAGACACTACAATATTGGTTCGATATTTTACCATATACTTCTAGGCACAGTTTTTAACATACATAAATTTGCCTTTGTCGCATCTTTACAGTCCTGTTGAGGTACGACTATCAGAATAAAGTATTCCCATAATAATGGTCTGTTAGTCTAGGTATGCTGAATAAAATAATTAGATGTATTATTATGTGCATCTACGTATTTATGGTGTTGTATTGTAGTAAGCTAAACATACTAATTTACCACTTGGTACTTACCTAACTAAGGCTTGTTGTACAATAATTACAAAATTGAAGTCTACTTGCTTAAGTATAATCAAATGGATTATGTACCTGCGTGTTTATTGTTGCCTACATGTAAATATAGTAATGAAGTAAGGGGAGATATTATTACTTTTTGTTGTATAACACGTAAAGTAGTTTTTATGTAAAGAGAAATATGAAACACAAAGAATAGTTAATTTTAAACTTTTATGTATTTACACTACATACTTATTTTTAATTATGTTAACAGAATGCATCGTGATTTCAAGTTAAATTATTTATCTGAAACCCAAAACTAAAATATTATTTACCGTGGTGAACTCACATAATTATAGACATAGACTCACATAATTAACTCAGATATACATTCAGATTATACCCATGTAAATGGTGAAACTAAACTATTTAATAAAAGTAACAGAAATAATACCTCCTGATTATGGGGCGAACATTTGTCCCCAATTTTATTTTAAGATATGTAAAGAATACAATGTTATGTTGTTGAATTAATGTTAAATTATCGATCTTAAGATATTTTGAAACCATAAGTACGGATTGGTACTGGATTGATGAAATATTATGTAGTGTGGTCTTAAGAATAAATGACGATAAGGATGAAATGAGCTTGAATGCAAATTTACATGTAGGTACGTGATGAAACTGAATTTCGGGTAAGCAAAGTCGTTTAATTTCCTTGAACTGTTTTGTGGCGTGCCTTGATGCCTAAAGATGAGACATCTCAAAATAGTAAGTAACTAAATCACTGTCAGAAAATGCCATGTCTGGTACATTCAAAAGGCCTAATAACTGGCTACACAAATAATAGACAATAATCTAATAGACTAATGTTATTGAGTAAAAACGATACATGCATCACGACTAAGGCCCTCACTGTTCACTGCAAATTAAATAAACACATGGCAGACTTATGTCTGTGCTTAATAAAGATTTTGACAAATACAAGAGGAAACGCTACTATACATCCTATGTGGTTATAACTCACTCATGTATAAACGAAAATTCCTTTTTAATCACTTTATACTGAGGAGATAAAAACCTTATCTTCTTTCTTCTTATCCTTGACGGACCTAGGCAGCGAACTCTAACAAAAATGGCGAGCACAATAGATTTATGTACGCCGCAATGCTACAGTCCAGTAATAACCGTCTAATAAAAAATCCTTCTATTAATAACTGAGTGTGTTTGAAATTGACGATAATCATTGCACTTTAAGAAATTATTAAGTGTTGTTGTAGTAGTTGGTTTAAGACACGTGAGAGAGTTCAACAAATATAGGCACAGATAATTTTTATTATTTTACCAAGATAACAAAATATTACTGATTTCATTATTTACTTAAGTATCCTAACATAGTGTAAGGGCCGACTAGAGGAGCAAAGCACGGCATAGCACAGCAGAGTGTAGATGGAGGAAACTATACCAAACCGCGTGAGTTACCCTTTTTTACAGAAGACCCATAATGTTATAATCAATGCAATTTAGTAGAGTCATCATCATAAAATGAACTAAAGATGGCAATGTCATCAAACTATTTTGTAGGACCCAAAATTTGACAAATATTTAGCCGGGATTTCTGTTGCAAATAAACTAGTCCCTAACTGATATTAATGTGTATATTAAGGAATGCCAACAATAAGTATTTGTATAACAGTGATGTGAACATATACTCTGGAAGATTCCAACTAAGTATTTATTAACTATGCGTGTTGTGGTGAAAGTGTAAAAATGTAGGGTCTGAAGTTGTACATGCTACCGCGCCACCTAGACGCGCCAATGCGCCGTCTCGCGGCGCCAGGCGTAAATATGTAACTGCCCATCCTATTCCGGAGCAAAAACAGTAATTAACTATTATTAAGTTTTTTATATTTAACGTGAAGTGTTGTTTAATGATCAAATAAATCTTTTCGTATTTATCACAGAGGTGAATAAGACACGGACTCTACATTTTTAAAGGCACTGTCCTCGCAGAAGCTATAATAGTAACAACTACTGACTTCTGCGGAAAAAAAAAATCTGTTCAAATTAGACCTACAGAAGCCAGTAGTTGTTACTAGTTTGGAATTTTTTTTTTGTAATTTGTAATATTAAATTGAAATTGAGGTTTTATAAGAAACTTTCAATTTATACCTAGTCAATTAGGTGCGTAGGCACAATTTTTATCCTATCATGGTTTAGTAGACAAAACAATTAGATACATATTATTATGGAATTAAGTATTAACGTAATTAGTGATTAATTACGAAAATGTCCTACAGTTTTTACTGTTTCTAGGGATTTAGTTAAATACTTTATATTTTACATAAAAAACTGATGCAATTTCTAAGGATCTTAAATAAAAATCATAGGCCATAAATAAACTAGCAAGGGAACAGAAGAGATTTTTTAAAATGTAAAATATAGTTACTTTTTAATACAAAAAAATCGTAACGGATATCGGGCACAGAACTTTCAAAGGATATAATAATCATATACTTTATGCGTATGGAGTCTGTAACTAACGGTGTAGCCTACTTATTACATGATTCATGACGAAATCTTATTTCGAATGTACTTTAGTTGATTTACGATATTAGTAATGGACCAGTTTATTTCGTAATAAATAATATTTATTGAAACGGCGTAAATAAAGTGGTATCCGTTCTTTGAGAAATAGTATTATCAAAAACATTACCTTGGAGAATGTCGGTTCCATGAGTACAGTATGACATTACCATTGGATCTGTATCTCCGCAATCAAACGGGTTGCTTCCATGTTGTGTACTATTCATGCTGATTTGAAAGGAATATAATAAATTTCTGAGTATCTTTTCAATAGGTCTGCAACTATGAATTATGACTTTAGTTTTGTTACCGTAAGGCCTACTTTTATTACATAAAATGAAAATTTATAATTTTTAAATATTTTCTGTCCTCGAATTATATATTATACGTTGTTGTTGAACACAAGCGAAGGGGAAGACCAAGATACAGCTACATATATTAAGCTGATCAATGAAACAATTGAAGTTGTGTTGCATTATTGAGTAAAGAAATTATTGGAAAATCGTGGAAAATAGATAAAAATAAGAACATAGTCCACCGACAAGCAGAAGAGCGCGGCTCTGAATGAATGAATGACTATAATATGATAGTATGTGACACGATATCTATGTTAGGAAATTAGGAAGTGCGATACCATGATAATAATTGAAATGCACCTTGCTATGAAGTATCTACTCAGAACGTATTTATTTAAGTTCTTACCTACATAAATAAAACATATTTTTTTTAATATTCTTTTGCCAATGACACAAATGTAATGTATTGTTTAATTACCCTATAAATTTGAATGAAGTTGCGGAATAATTGATTGTTGAGCAAGTATGACTGAAAGTTATTATATATCTATATAAAGATTCAGACCTATAGTTATGACTAGAAAACCATGTTTTCTAAAAAAGGTTAAAGGTCTGAACCAGTCTTTATTCTTCTGAAGTCTTTAAATTAAGCCCCTGAGAGTGAATGTTGTTATAATTTTAGTAGTTGATATGTTACTTACTATTTGACATTTTGTAGGTTGTAATAATAATACACTCAGCGCCATCTAGTTCCAATCTAAGTTCCAAAGTAGTATTGTAACAGTACTGGTCAACTGATATAAATACTTAATTATATTTTTTTGTAAATACATAGATAACACGCAGCCCAATACACACCAGAAAAATACAAATATTTGTACCGTGCGAGGAATCGAACCATGATCATCGGAAATAAGCGGCATGCTAAACCGCTCGATTACCGAGGCCGCCAGAGTTGTAGGCGAATTGTGGGTAAATACTTGTTTGTAAGGGTAAATATTTTATTTAGTGACAAAACTAAGTATATTGGCTTACGTTCACTAGATTCGTTTGTAAAGTAGCTAAGACAATCAATGTGAAATCGTTATGTTCCTATTTTTTTATACAGAATAGTATTGAGGTCAGTTGTTTAATCTTCTTGGAAACGATTTAAAGTTCGACAGTGATTTCACACCTATCTGATGGTCACCGAGTGGAAGTGCATCATCCAAGTATTTACTCGATGTTTTAGGTCAGGGGCATAGAGATACGATGTGGTATTCAGCAAGTGACGCAAATCAATGTTACGTCTAAGTTATATGTATATTCTAATTTGTAAATAAATTCTTCGATTTAACTCGAATCGTTGCATGATTTTGTAATTAAAATTCTTGGCGCTCATTTCTGATCATGGCGGACGTCATTAAGATCATAAGCATTGATTAATTTCATACGAATCCCGTCGCGACAGTCTCTACTATAAACTAGTTCATACTTTCGCTTTTGCTTGACTTCAATATACTTTTTTTATTTTTAAATTATATTTCGTTTAATGTCAGTAGGTACCATGAACTGTTGAGACTACAAAACACGTCGGAACTGTTTGTCAATGTCTCTACCAGTCTCTATCGTGTGCGTGATATTGACATTGTATTCGAAAGTTATCTTTTGCGAACAGACAAACAAAGGTACTAGTTCCTTTGAGGTTATGTTTATAAGTATAATTCTAATTGCTAAATACATGTAGTCGCCATATTAGAGAAATCTCGTATATATTTTTTGCTTAGAATGTGTAACAAAGAATGAGCAATTTGATTTAGAAAGAGATTTTGAACTATAATTAATAGGTACCAAATCATTCACGGAATAAACATTTTTACAAATATACCTTTTTCATGGATAGAAAACATTAATAATAGTTTCAGACAAATGACTTCCTTCTAACATGATGTGCGGGCAGATAGACAACCAATAAAGTTGTAACTATAAGATTCTTATTTGCTCTTGAAAGAGCTAGTGAATTACTGTTATTAGTCATAATTTTTTTAGCAAGGTTATAAAAAAATTTGCATATTATTAGATCATAGGAAACATAAGCTCATTAAATGTAGAGTCGTCAAGAATCACTGTATCTTATAAATATAAAATGTTTAGTATCTGAATGAAGGAGTGTGAATCTAGCAGTACGTTTAAATAACTTAAAGAATTAAAAAATATTGGTTTTTTTTGGATGACGGTGTAATGATGCACCCGCTTGAACTAACGATTTATCGGTATACAGTATTTACCAGAGGTAGACCGTAATAAGTCGTCTGTGTGGAAGTACTCAGTCTTACCTATTTCAGTTTGCTTTGTAAGCTATGTGTCGATTGTAGGATGTGATTACGTAGTTATATTACATAAGAAGTATGACATCTTAGTTCTTTAGAATGGTGGTGGTAGTTCTCTGTATAGGTGACAGTTACAGCTTATCTATCTGCTTATTTGCTATTCCAATTCCAATTTCTAATTAATGACAATAAAATATGCTGGCAATGAAAGGGGATGATTATGAGTCATGAATTCAGGTTAATTATTTTGATTCACAATTCACTACAAATTAATCATTATGATTTCGACAGGGAGCCGGGGTGCGTCAACCTGATAGGTGATATTGATTGGGCCGTTAGCCCATATTATTGACACTCATTTCCTCCTTCATTATTTACGTTATTTAGAAATTTAATATTTAATTCGGGTGCACATATCCTTTGTATCTCAGAGTTAAAACATTGATTGCGCTTCGATTTGTAAAATTTGATATTTATAATTCTAATTCATACAAATATTTTATCCCGAGATATCCCTTTTTATTAAATTTGTTAATAAATATATATTTTATTGTTACAGATATGGTGCCGGCGCGTTTCAATGTCGCGATCATGATGTTTTTTGCGACATGGGTGAACTATATGATGAGAGTAAACATGAGTGTCAATATAATTGCTATGGTGCCAGATGAGTCCAATACTACATCGTTAGTATACATTCATTACAACATTAGATAGATATCTTTATATGGCGTAAAATGAAGTTGCTTCCGCTGTTTCTTCGCTTAGATCTTTTAAATTATACTTTTTTGTTATACTATTTTCGAATCATTTTAACTAATTTCGAATTATTAATTTATACTACCAATGGGTCTCTACTATCACGTATAAAATAATATTACTATGCACATTTCAAATTTATATATGAAGTACACACGTGATCGGACAGGAATTCATTCATTCGAATCACATCATTCGTTAAGCCTATTGATCTGCAAACTGTGTCTAATGTTCACTATCGAATTGCGATATCGGCGATTTTGCTTTGTGCTTTCCTAGTACCTACAACATACTGAGGAGTATCTACAATACAATCAATATAATTCTTTCGAAGAATATCATAGAGCGGGTATTTAGATTTTATCTCAAGTAAAAATTAAATCTACGAAGTAACTTTGCATGCAGCACTCGAGATCATAACGGAATATATCACTATATTGGCTCTTGTTTATACTATAAAATAGTAGAATTGAAGGTTTATTTCACAGATATGAAGTTATTATTTAAAATATTTTCTTTTTACGTTTATTTTGGTCCATCAAATATCACTAGTATCTAATAATATTGTTTCCCAAGAAGGATGTTTATTACAAGTATATAAAAATAGAATATAACAAAGATGTTACATTCTATTTTTATATGCACCTATCATCAGGTACCTCATACAAAGTTAGATTTTACGTACAACCTGACAACTAAACGTGAATTTTCTAGAATTTCTTATCTTGCATTCATGAAGTATTATGTATACGGTTTTTGCTGCTTTTGTCCTTGGAGTCCGGAGTACAAAACAGGTTTGCAGATGAGAATATTTTGGATTATGCTGATGAAGTTCACTTACTACTAGACCGTCTTTATAAAAGAACTTTTATTTCATTTGAATAATATATATGTATGCATTTAATAATTTCTTATTGTGCCATACAAAAAAACATGCTGTCTTCGGTCTAAAGACTCAAGCAATATTTTTTAATTAACTTTGGATTGATATTTGTCAGAGAGAATTAACTACATAACATAAATATATTACGCGTGGAGAACTACATAATATGCATTTAATAAATTCATTTATGCAACTGAAATGTATTCCTATGGTATTTGATAACTTAAAATTCAAGTAAAACGTATTTAAAATATTCTTATCTATTTTTGTTTTCGCTTACTATTATTAAAGAATTATCGGGATATTAAGACATCATCAAAAAACATGCATTTGTATGAACATTCTACATGTAAGTGTATCAACAACTATAAATCGGTATTTATAGAATATGCTTCAACATTATGAAATGAAATGTATTTATTTGCATGAAATATGGTATAAATATTAAGAGAATGTCAGTATTAATAAAATTGTCCACATATGTCGCCATTGTTTTGGCATCCAACATTTTAGTAATATCAGTAATATACTAATTAATAATAGAATTAATGAATTTACATTTAAAAATTACATGTTACATTAGCTATTATTTATTTTAGTAACAATAAACTACCTACTAGGTGACTGACTGATTGCCCCTGTGGGCAATCAATACGATTTTATGAGATACCAGTTCAGCCTGTAACTTGTTATCCATGGTATTCGGAACTACAATACTTTATATCTTTTTTTGTTAACGGACAAAAATTCTAACAATCATTGTTTTGGTTTCTTCTACGTTGATAATGTTTACCATCAATAGTTTTTGTCATATATCTTTAATGTACAGATAGAGATCATTTCGACTTTTATTATACGTCTGTACAGATTGCTTCAGGTAGGTTCTATAAAACTACAAACAAATCAATTTTTTAATTAAACAAAAAAAAAATCAATTTTTGAAATTAAGCAAAAAAGCGTGCAACTTTAACAGATATTATATACAATTGCTGCATTGCTATATGTTCATATGTACCGTTCATCAATTCGCAGGGTGAAAACAGAATGCGAGGCCATTGCGACTGATGACAATTCATTGTATAACTCAACAGTGACTATGGTGACGAAGCGTGTACTGCGGCAGGTAATCATTTTGTTTTACAATGCTAAACTTCCTACCTTTGACATGTTTTTTTGTACTTAGCACTAGAACAATCTGCTTGTGTATCTACCTAGTGGATAAAGAGTATTTTATGTAGATATAGGTATATACTTTTGTATTCATGAATGTACGACATGCATTCCTAAATGTTGCAATGGGTATATTATAATAATAATATAGGATAAGCTTAGTCCGAACTAGTTGAACAATGATGCGAGTACCAAATTGGTTTTCTTTTAAAATCATTCATACTCCTGAACGGGAGGATATGGTAAGTATTCAGGATATGTTAAATTATTTTGTTTAATTATAAATGTAAGATTATTATCTTAACTGTAATACTAGGTATAACAATCTGATTTGAAAAGACAGTCAAGTTTTTCTTGGTCACATTTCGAACTCACGGTAGATTTCACTTGTAATTTACTAATGTTTGTGGATATTTTATTTCAATTTGTTAATGTATTTTTTTTATATCACCAACAAGCAAACAAGCAAGCTATTGTCTAATTGTATAAAAATTTGACGTGTTCATAAGCGGCTAAAATGTCCTACATGTATAAATGATATTTTGAATTTACTTCCAGCCTGACGGTGTAGTGACCTTTGACTGGACGGCGCAACAACAAGCTTATGTCATATCTGGGTATTTCTGGGGCTATGCTGTCACATGCTTAATAGGTGGAACGGCTGCAGAATTATGGGGACCTAGAAAAATTGTGTTCATCACTATGCTAATCAGCGGGATCCTAACCATATTCTCACCTCAGGCCGCTAAGCTTCATTATATGGTTTTAGTTGGAGTCCGATTAATCATTGGTCTTGCATCTGTAAGTATTAAAATGTAGTAGGTACTTTGCTATTGGTTTAACTATTTTTAACTGTGGTAATTGATCTGTGTGTGAATATTGATATAATATCACTCTTCATACCACTACGTCATTCATATTATATGTATAGTTGGTGGTTTCCATTTTGCCATAACATTAATAGAAATAATCCTAGACACATTTATCACGATGCTCGTATACTCATATACTTGAGGCTTTTATTTGCAAAATACATTATATAATAATATAGGTATATTGACCACTGACACAAATTCAAACAATACCTATATACATATATATATATATATATATAAATACAAATGTTTGGATTGTGCTAGATCGCGACCATCGGAAAGTTAGGTAGTGTTCTAAAAACCGAACACCAGCGAGGTCGTCATAGAAGCTAAACGATTTTTTAATTTTAAAACTTTTATGATTATTGCAATGACAAATGACGTAGTGATCTTATCTCGCCGACCTTACTAGTATTGTTTTATAGCTTTAAGTTTTTTAATTTAACATAAAAAGATCTAGTAGGTGTGCATTTTGAATATTTTATAATGAAGTTTATTTTAAGTTTACATACATACAAGTACTTCGTCAATGTTATATATATTTTTGTTATGTAGAGTTATAACTCTAATAGCTATAGGCCATTGGCGCCAATGCTTTTCTTTTATTTCTACTTAAGATCTCGTCTTTTCCTTTTCCTTATGCCATATCATTTGGAATGGACGAAAAGTCTCAAATTTATATTAACTAAAATAATTATTTTAGCTGTAATTATAATATCGACCGTCCTAGAAGTCAACTTCTAGGAAATGCATTGAATGGTAATATTGCCATCTATAAAATGGGTAGGAATAGAGGATGAGGATAGAATTCGGGAAGAAACAAATAACTTGCAAGTTTATAGGGAGAATTGTGAGGGAGCGGGGGAGGGATACCGCAGTTACAGGTTTTAGACATTGATGCTAGAAACCGTAGCAACTCGAGAGGACGTAATTGCATACCCGTATGTCCTTACATGTCGCTACAGAAGAAAACAATCGAATATGTATGACAAAGAAAAAACTGTATATATACAGAAGGCTACGACTAGAGTGTTGTTTTTACTTCTAGTTTAAGAATGATTCTCTGAAATATTTGTAGTGTATATACATAGATAGAGCACACCTCAACAATACTGACTGTATCTTCAGAAGTTTACTTATATAATCGTGGTATGTAAAACACTACATTTTTTACATATTATTTACACTGCGTCATCACTTATCATAAAATTCAAATGTTATTGAATGAGCTACCAATTGTATTATTTTATATTTATTGTATATGTTAGTCCTTAAAGTAAACAAAAAAATGTGTTTAAGTATAAAGAAACTGATGGCACTGTGTGAATTTATTATTATTATATATTGTCACATATATACCTAAATTGTGGCAGACAAGCATTTTATTACTAGCATCGATTACCAGGCTTTTACCAATCATTTAGGCGTACGTCACATCGGATGGTAAATAATAATAAACGGTTAAGATAGCTACAATCTGATTAAATTTCTTTTAGTATAAGTATGTAATATTATGTTATCTGTGGTATAAGTATAAATAATACGTAGGTACGTACATCGTTAACTATAAGCGTTTTTAAAAAGTGGTATAACAATGGAAACAGGTTTTATCTGCGGGCGACTTTTTATAAAAAAATGCAGTTCTTTGATGCGGGTAAAGGTATTGCACGAATCGAGATGCAAAGCACTCGAAACGCTAATTACAGTTTTGCAAAACCCGTATTTAAAATTGTTTAAAGTCTGTAATAAGTGGAATATTTTTAACACAATAAAGGTACTATTATGGTATGTGTAATGTATGTTTATGATACTAGTAATATTTGAATATTAGTTATATAAAAAAATACTAATATACTTATGTATGGCGCATAAAACTCGTTACACTGAAAATTTACATTAGTATGTCACAGTTAACATATTCTAATATATTTTAAAACTGAAATTTAATATACTTACTATTTATGTCTTTCTCGACGACCCTGAAGAAGTTTAAGACGAAGTCGAAATAATTATAAAAATAATATAGTCAATATTGACATAGTTTTAAAAGCAATACAAACAACTCATATATTATGCTTTGTTTTAGGGTATATTGTTTCCAGCGTTACATGCTTTGGTAGCACATTGGGCCACGCCAGTTGAAAAGGGAAAATTCGTTAGCGCCCTCCTTGGAGGTGCTATCGGGACCGTGGTCACGTGGTCTTTAACTGGGCCTCTTATAGAGAATCTAGGATGGGAATATGCATTCTATGTACCAGGTAATCTATATACTCAATGATAAAAACAAAAATAGTAGTTTAAGTTTTAGTTTAATTATATGTGGGTTATTTAACTTACGTACCGTTTAATTTGTAAGAAAGTACCTATTACCGGGAACAGAAATAAAAGCTATCGTATGATTTTTACGCAACTATTAGTTTGCTGACTTATATATTAAGTACCTACCTAAGTAAAGCATGACAGTAGGTACATGTATCTTAAATACTTTAGTCATACACAGTCAAATTGATTGATGAGTTTAATGTATAATCTATCTTAGCATTATATTATCACAAACATTCATCATATCATAAACATCACTTTCCTAATATTATCGCGGATGTCATAGGCTATATTACGTCATTTATCAAAATAATCCAGTTCTAACTCCAGGTTACCTTTAAGGCAAAGAAAATATACCTATTCTAAAATAAGGCTGTGTAAGAAAATGCGAGTAGCAGAAGTACATTATAAATCTGAACGAATCATGGGAAAACCTATCTTCATTGCCCGTCTAGGGTGATCGAAGACCATATGAATTAGACGATATGGCTAGACATCTAGTCGAGGGTTGGTTACATGCGGTCTGAGCATGTAACTCTATCTACAGTGAACGGTGTATTACGAATATCATTGTCAATATCAGCATAATATCAATAAGTTTGAGATGAGAGACATTATCTATAAGAATTCCATTGATTTGGCGGATAACAATTGTTGACATTTTTTGTATTACAAACAGACAGATAACTAAATAGGTAAAATACAAATTTAAGATTGTATCTGAAATCACAAATCATCAAATTGTATCTAAACATATAAGATTAGATCACTTTATACGTAATATGTTACGGTATTGTCAAAACTTAATCTAAATGGGAAGTAAACGTCAATTTTGAATCGTCACAGACTCGATGGCAGAATCGGAAACAATATGTAAGCAATTTTGAATTTTGTTGTTATAACAATAACGGTTGATTATTCTGCTACTGTGACGAGGTACTAAAGAGTTTGTTTACATATTGACTATATGATATTCATATTATGTACTATTTTTACAGGAGCGATTGCGACATTTTGGTGTTTTATATGGTGGTTTTTGGTATATGACTCACCGATACAACATCCTCGTATATCAGATAGTGAGAAGAAGTACATTTTGGACTCTATTGGCGATAAAGTTAGTCACATTTCAAAAGATAAAAAGGTTGGTAAATCATTGAATTCATCGAATGGTTCGAATCTGTCTATATTTTAGGATTTAGTATGGAATGATGTATGAATTGTCAGCGCAGGCAGTGTTTCAATTTCGTACAAACATTACATTATCGCAACACTGTGTAAAAAAAATATTTTCTTACTTTTTTCTTGAGAGATTTGTCAAGTTTGTCCTAATTTACATAGTTAATATACTCCCTGCGGACGAAAACGGTGTAGAGAAATAAGAGTTACCTACAAATAAATTTTGGTTGTCCGCACTTGACTGAATTATGAACCCACAAAGAGTAAATACTTATAATAATATGATAAACCGTTCTATAATAGAAGATTTTTCGTAATTTGTAATTCTTACAATAATTATTTAGGTTGTACACCTTATCTATACCATATTTTTACTCCTACTGTATTTTACAATATAGTTTTTAGTGTTTATTCATCATCGTAATAAAACAGAATGGGACCAGTATTAAAATAAATCTTAGTGATTGTAAAAGTAATCATCAAAAAGTATGTCTATATAAGAAATAAATTTTAATTGTCATTGACAATTCTTTACAGATTGTTCCCCCATTCTGGAAAATCTTCACTTCTTTTCCATTTTTGGCTATGGTGATACTACACTATGGTAGCAACTGGGGTCTCTACTTCGTGATGACTGCGGCTCCGAAGTTCGTGTCCAGTGCTTTAGGATTCAACCTAACCGCTACTGGAACTTTATCGTCGCTACCTTATCTGGCTAGAATGATATTCTCATTAATATTTGGAGCTATTGGTGACCGGTAAGGTTTCAATATTAATTGAATGAATACAATTTAAATTATTTAGAATAAAATTACTGTTGATTCTCGGTTTTTTCTACTTTTATAGAATTACCGGCCTATGCTGATCTTGAAACATCACAAAATATACCGACACGTTTGCAGTTCCAATTCACATGACTTTTGTTGTATTTGCAGACTTATGAAACAGAACAGGGTATCAACAACATTCATGAGAAAATTCTTCTGCTTGTTCTCCCACATCGTACCCGGTTTGCTTCTGATTGGGCTCGGATACACTGGCTGTGCTCCGATTCTCTCAGTGGCTCTCATAACTTTCTCCATGGGATCAAATGGTGCAGCTACGTTAACTAACTTAGTGAATCACCAAGACTTAGCGCCAAATTTTGCTGGCACATTGTACGGTATTGCTAATGGCATTGGCAACACTGCTGGTTTTGTTACGCCTTTGGTTACGGCGCACTTCACAAAGAATGGGGTAAGTTCGTTGATTTCATTAAGATATAATGGCTTGCCTTAGTTGACTGATGATATTTTTATGGTTTTGATTAATAAGAACTACCGCGAGCTAAATTTTTGTAATATAAATTCAATTAAGTAAATACCTATTTATAAGAACACGATAATAAAATACGTATCTATTGCTAATTTTATTGTCGTATATCTTTTCCGCATTTGCAGATTTTCCGCACACTTATTTATTGATAAGAAACCATAATTACATGGTTTTCCCAGTATTCCTTCATACTTTTTATATCAATCTGATTCTTTAAAGATGATTCCTTTTTACCTATAGATGAGAAGCTCTCGGAAAAGAATTATAATAATTATTTTCGAAAAGTTTATTATTTATTATAAAAAAATATATTAATATTCTAAGCGCCTACTAAATTTTCTTTGCAGAACGGTTTTGCGGAATGGAGACCCGTGTTCATGACAGGGGCCTCCCTCTATATTGGTGCAGCTGTATACTTTATTCTTTTCGGTACTGCAGAAACGCAGTCTTGGAATTACATAGCACCCGTAGAAGAGGAAGAAAAAAGACCAAGCAATAACTCCAATGACACGACTGTCACCATACCTGTTAAGACGTAGTGTATTTTGTGCCTCTATATTTATTTTAAAAAATCATGTGATTGTATCAAATGGTTTGTAATGTAGACAAATGATTATTATAAAAATACTATGAAAGAACATCATAGTGTGCTGTTTAAATAGATTGCTAATTTTCAATAATGTTATTTCGGTTATATCATTATTCATTTGTAGAATTGGTAAGAATTCTTTTCATTGTTTTTGTTCTTAAATTAGACAGATTTGACAAAATATTGGGTGTTTTACCGCGTTCCATAGGTATACTTACATATAGATTAAGCAAAAGTAGTAGTTATAAGTTTTGTACTTATATTCGTAACTTAGAAGGACAATTCAGCCTAACGTTATTAGTAGATTTAAATTTTAATATACATACTTGTAGTTGTCATTGTACTTGTAGTATACCAGTTTGAACCTATATATGTTCTATGCACAGACAATGAGTAGGTACAATAAATATAAACTGTGAATATAAATGATTGTTATGATTGATAATATCGTATAGGTATATTAATGAATCTACAATAAATTGTTATGGAGTAATAATGTATTTCTTGCGGATTATCACTTATGCAGTGGAAAAAAAAGCGTTTTGGGAACAGGTTCTGAATAATTCCGTTCCAATTAAAAAAAATTGGTCATTTGAGTTAGATGCCATATTATTTGCATATTGAGTTCTATTTATATAGGTTCTTACTTGTAAATACTTTACAACTTTATATAGACTAAAATCATATTTCTTAGCATAGACACAATGTGATGTCAATTAATTAAAAAAATATATTTATGATTAATGTTTTGAAGACTGTGATGAATTATAATTGTGCACATATATTAATTTAAATAAAGTTATTTATTGTAGTTTGTAACAATTTTTTAAAGGAGTATGCCTTCCTATATCTTCTTTTATTTTGCCCAAACCTACGTTTGTAAATTAAACATAAAAACAATTTGTAGAAAAAATATTTCTACAAATTGTATTTTGACAAAATAGAATCGAATCGTATAAACAAATCGATGATTCAAATTTAGCATGCGAATAAATATATAATAAAAAAAGTAAAGTAGTAAAGTAAGTAGTTGCTTGTTATGCAGGTTCAATACAATTATTATAGTTTTCACAGAGTTAATTTGAGATATTTTACCAGTTTAGTTTAAGATTAATTTTATGTTAAGAATTTTTCGGTTCTGAATTTTTGTGTGATTGATTCCACTCTGCCCAGATTGATGGTTTCTATATCATTGGTAACACAATAATATATAAAAAAACTACAGCTATGTCATTACAAGTTATTTAATATATTTAAATTTTATTACATTTAGATAAGTATATTATCATACATTATATACACGATTACACTCTCATTTAATATTTTAAACAATATAATCTTACAATAAATGACACAAGAAATTCTAATTTTTGAATACACAAATTATCAAACAGTTACTAATTCATAATTAAAATGTAAAGATATTCATCAAACATTATAATAAACAAACCACTTAAGAAAAAATATTAACATTTCTGTTAGAAACGTACATTATAATTAAAGTTGAAACTATTCTTACCTCTTTGGAATTACATCACCAAAACAACTCAGGTTATGGTCACATACATAAAATTTCAGGCGGGATTCATCTAACAATACATATAATGCTCACACAGGACGTCACATACAAGTTGTAAAATAGACAAATATAATCAATGAATTGAATTACTACAAGTGATGAGCATGTAAAACTCTAAAAATATTTCTAAAACATGCATTTGATTTTAATAATTTACTCAATCTAGGTTTTACCTACTGGCATATTATATTGCATTAATCACTCTAGCCATTTATGACGATTCTTGTGCTTTAGTAACGTTAGACGTAAGATTCAGATTCCGTGTCAGACTCGGAACAATCCAAAGCGATGTGGTCGTTTTTATCAGTACCATTGTATAGACGGGGTACTGACTTAGATCTAAGCGTCTTTTCATCCTTATTCACATGTACCGGCTGAAAATTTTTCAGGACTCTCTGTATCATTTTTCTCGGTGGCACCGGTGGTGGCATGTGAGGTGGCTTCTTGTTGTTGTTTTGCTCCTTCTCTGATGAATGATACTCAGGCTGAACAGCTGTGGGAGTAGCCTTGTAGATGTCTGAAGTAAACATGTTAGATGATTTATCCTCATGGAATATATCCCTTCTACGATTATATACAGACGTGTACAAAGGTTCAATATATTGGCTAGTGTAATTATTTTCAAAGGAATTCTCGCTGGCAGGTGATTCTGTTGATCGGCTGTTGAATGAGTTTTGAGGTTGATATAAGGTATCGCAGCTGCTAGAATCGCTATGCAGTACGATATTCGCTAATGATTTCGACTGATTTAATTTGTGATTTGTGTAATTGCGATGTCTTATCTTTTTATTTTCTTCCGAGTTGCTACTATGTATACCGTCAACGTACGAATAGGAATTTTGTAATGGATTCATTGTATGTTTCTCATATTCTCTACTATTTGTCGACTGTGATGTCCCACAAGTCTTAGTACACATATGCGCGGGGTCAAAACGCCTCTTTCGACAAAAGTTCGAAATATTCACATCGTAATTTCCATTACGAACTTTTTCTGTACTATTACTTTGCCCTTCTTCATTAACTTCTAAACTCTTTGTTCTAGCTGCTTGACGAGACCAGTCATTTCTTGTAAAAATGGTGGCTGCCGGTGTTGCGTTTCCACTGGATTTATTCTGTGAAGTTTCTCCTTGTTTCTTAGTCATTTGTCCATAAATATCAACTGTATTACCAGTGCTACTATTATAATTCGTGCTTTTATGCTCCCAGCCAGAATAAACTCGGGAGTAATTTGTATTTGACATATTTTTCATAATTTCTGCATGTGTTTGGTATTGATTCTGCCTTTGAATATTTTCCGTGAACATGGCCAGGTCATGTATGTTACTGTATACTATATTTTCTTGACTAGAAACTAGGTCGCGTTTATTATCTATCGATTCTTGTTTTGGTTCTAATAGATTATCAGAGCTCTTTGCTCTGTTAAAATTTTTATTTGATGGATTCTTTTCCATTTCTTGTGTTTCAGCGAACATACTGTAAACCTTCGATGTTCGAGCTGCCTTTGACAAACTTCTTGGTGGTTTCTGTGGTTCTAAACCTGTTATATATTTTGCTGGACTTTGTCCATAAATATCTACTGTAGATCGTTGCAGTGCAGTTTTAGAAACATAATTTCTTTCGTCGATTCCGTTTGAGATTCCTATGTTTATAGAATTATGAACATATCTCTCTCCTGTATATGGTATCGTATATAACTCTTCATTCACTGTACTATACATTTCTGCCTTATTTGAGTAATTATTTTGCCTTTGTGTCATTCGGGGGAGACCATTTACGTTGTGATTATCTGTGTGGTATCTTGATACTAGTTTAGATTCTGGTTGAATATTACACGTCGGTGCAGATAGGCTATGAAGAATATTTCTAGGCGCTGGACTGTTTCCACCATTGCTATTTGAATCATCTTCAGAGAGAGTTAAACCCGAATCCCTACTAAGCGATAGTTTTTCTTTTCGTGGTGTAGTCAATTCCATAGAATCCAATGATATACCGACAGAATGCAAGCTGTCACTTTCTTCTGCACCTGAATCTAGTAATGCATTCGAAGGTTCTGGACTTCCATTTCCTAAGAGATTGGAAATTTGAGGTCCGAATAAATCGTCAGCTTTAACAATAAGTAGTTCTACAACCATTGGCACTGCTTTGGGAGCTTTGTCACAGGGAGTGTTGGGCCACAGGAGGCTGGGACCTACGCAAACACCAAGATTCATGGGGCACATGAGGTTAATATTGGATTTTTTAGCGATAGCTTGCAGCAAACAAACAAAGTATGTTAGCATCGTATAGTGCGATTTTGGTAGTTTCAACAACAGTGAGCGCACGGCTGCTACTTTTTCTACTTGAGATAAACCTGTAAGAAAAAGAGAGAATTAGTATTGGTTATAAAATATGTACCTCATTATACCTTCAAATACGAGACAGTGAACATTGAGTTAAATATACGACGTATCTTATTGTAAAATACTTACTAAGAACTTGTAGCCACGATGAATAAAGTTCTGCAACTAGTAATGGCTGTGGAAGCGCACGGAAGAACTCTTTTACAAGAGCAGCCAATAGTAAGACGGGCGCGCGGTCCAGTTCCGCGCAGCCTTCTGCCCATGGACCAAGCGCATCCAACTAAAAGTAATTTATGTAAATATATTTTAGTATTTAATAAGAATATATAAACATGGATTATGATTATATGAACTCAGTGATTACAAGAAAGTTTAGAAAATATCTGAATAGTGTTGTATATACGTGTTGTTACGTGCCGCAACACCGACCACGGCAATGTACCTATCCCGCCTACACTACGCTACCAAGGAACAGGACATTGTTGACTACATCCGGACTAAAAGCAACCTGACATTGAGGGTGACGCAGTTGGAATCGAGCCACAACGCGAGCTTCAAAGCGTTCGTGGCCCTGGTCCCCACCAATATGCTGCCCACCTTCATGAAGGAGGACTACTGGCCGAAGGGGGTGGTCTATCGGCGCTACCGTGGCAGATTGCCGTCGTCAGTGCCGTGACCATAGAGACAATTTTATTTTACATATTTGATTATTATTTCTTATGTATGTTAGTCTATAAGGTATTTATAATATGGGCCATGTAGCCTGAATTAAATAAATAAATAAATAAAATAAATATATTATAATAAAGAGGCCCCAAATTTAAGAGCCTTTAAATAGAGGACATTTTTAGGAGCACAAATTCTTATGAATATTATTGTATTCTTCATTGCACTTAAAAATTCATTAGAGACATGCTGTAGTGCAACATTTTACAAACGCATTTTTAGAACTGTTATTTATTACATCTACTAATTTACAAACAATATGTGAATTAAAAATATTAGATAACATTACAAACCTTATCTCTTAGTAATCTCAATGCTTTGGCATTAGCACTACGTCGGAAAACGCCGTGTGTTATTGGCGCTATAGACCGCAAGCGACGCAGTGCTTGCAGCAGCGCGGGTGGCGGTGTCCCGTTGCAGAGTCGCGTGAGGGCGATACCAAATAGTCGTCCACTGCGTCGAAGTAGCCTCAAACCTCGAGCGGGGGTATTGTTTCCACTGAAAAATTATTATCCACAATTAGCGTCAGTTTCACTTGATCATATTTTGTAGTGTTATTGTAGTATTGGTTTATAATTTTATAAGATACTCTTAAAATAAAAAACAATTTCATAGCACATTTATATCTTGGTTACAGAAAAACAGATTATGAGAGAACAGTACAATTTATGATTAGAAATATCGTTGTAATAAATATTAAAAGTAAGTAATAATATTATAAACGAAAAAATCATACCTTTTTAAACCTTGATTCTTCTTTCTTAATTCGAACACCAGACCACAGGGATTGTTTTTGGCGTTCACATGCTCCAAATCAAAACCATCCTCATTCGATAATGTTTGCCTTATCCTTGACATCTGAAATATAAAAAAGTTAATTCCGATTATTTTCAGTAGGTGTACCTAGTTTCAATATGTTATATCGTATTTAAAAAGTACTAAAATAGTATTATTTGAAAAAAATATTATAAGGAAGATGGATAAGTAATAAATATCTTAAACTAGCTACCCCGCGCAACTTTGTCTGCATCTCACTTACTTGACATTTATCATTATATTTCGTCCAATTTTCATAATATTTAAAGCCTATGTGTTATTCTGATGCATAAGCTATACTCTGTAAAGAAATTCTTCATGAAAATCAGTTCAGTAGTTTTAGCGTGAAAGAGTAACAAACATCCATACTTATAAACTGTCGCATTTAAAATATTATTAATAATAATAATAGGATTATATTATTAAGATTAAGATATTCAATTCTATTGAGCATCTGTTCGCATATTGTAACTATATATGTATGTATTATTATGAATCAATATACTAACTTGAATAGCATGAGGTCTTTCAATGCCATGCAACGGCGTCGGTGGTGCATCCCTTGTCGTCTGGACATACAGCGTGAAGTCGGCAGCTGGCCCCCATCGACCTTCGGCTTCAGCGTCTCCATCACCATCTCCCTCATGTTCCCCTTCAGGGCCTCCGTTTTGAAGAACGTGTAAAGCTTGCCGAACAACGCATTTGGCACTCATATCAGGACCCACTGATACGGTTTTACACTGTAAAGGGAGATGTAATGTTAGATCTTTATTATTTTAAATACCGACGCAAAGATATTATAAGACGGTAACCATTTACCTTCAGATGGGCCGTGTGCTTGTTTGCCACCATAGTAGTATAAAAAAAAAAGTTTTACGTGTCTGTGTGTGATAACTGACGTGTCGAGATGGTTCTTTGCAACAATTAATCACTTGTTTTTAAATTCGGAGGTACTTATTTTTATATAATAAATTTATAAAGATGCACTTATTAATATTATTAAGTGTTATACGGTTAATAAGTGTTACATAAAAAACAGGCAAATGTTTATTACGTTGAGGAGAAGTATTAATTGGCTAATAACTTCAAGTTGAATAAAAAATAATCTTTGCGAGGAAAATGTTAAAACCAATGAGACAACAAGTTTTTAAACAAACGTCAGGTAGGTAAGTTTACTGATAAAAACTCAAGGTTAAGTATGGTGGTATTTTGAAATAACCTTGTGTGTCTATTATAAGTATTTTGCGTAGTTTCAACATTAAAATTATTATCTATAATTATGTATATATATTACAAACAATTATCTTAGTCGCAAGTACTTACAATTTCTATAGAACTCGTAACATCCTTATAGAAGATTTGAATGTTTGTTGATTTTGGTTCTGTGGTCAGTTGAGCATTTAAAGCATTTTGTATTTTCCTAAAAATAAAATTACAACATTATATAACAGTAGTGTGTACTAATTATTAAAAAAAATACAGGCTATATAATTATGAGAAGGTAATAAATATTCGTCTGCGTGGGTAAATCTGTATCTCCTATTTTATCTGCAAAATAGCTTGCTTTTCAATTTGCTATTCCAGTAAATAAGAAGAAAAAATAAATAAACCTACAACAACTATTCAACCTAGAATATTCGAACCAGACTCATTCGCATTTTTTCTTTATTAGACTGACGGCAAAGGGATCCTTACCATGGCCTATTACGAGGAAGTAATATGTTACATAACTGACACGGAAGTTGAACAACATTCTTTGCTTAATATATACGTACTTGTCACATTTCTAGGTAAAAAAATAAAACGTGGTGATATTTTTTTTATTTTAGCGAACTAAAGAGACTGGCGGTGTTGATAGAGTATAGTGAAGATAATAAATAAGAATAAATAAAATAGTAGTCAAATAAAGATCAGATGAATTTATTAAAATCTTTATAGCAAAAAGTACAGTCGATAGTCGATAAATCGAGGATCTTACCTGTACCAAGTATCACGAGCTGCTTGAGTGGGATAGGTGGCGAGGTAGTTGGCGACTCCAGTAACCGTCGGCCACCCAATACGAAAGCCTGTATCATCACCGTCAGGTAAGGACAGCCACAATTCTGCTAATCTGACACTTTCTTTAAGTTTAAAACAATTAGTGCCTCTAGACTTTCCGACAAGTAGCAAATCACTGAATAAAAATAAATTACGATCTAGCGGTGGGGAGGTAGAGCCCAAAGGACACAGTTGGACTGGAGCCTCCATAATGAAGGTCCTTGGCGATAACGAGTTGCTGTTTGTGCTGACCGTACCACCAATATCCAAGCTTGGTCTCTTGCGGAGGCTCTTCGATTTCTGGAATAGGTGAAGATACATTAAGTAAGTAATAAGCATGGTTTTATCTAAAGGAAAACTAAGAATGAAACATAGAAAGGGCAGGTATGGCAATAAATAAGTAGTTCAATAACAATAGCTAACTTACAAAGAGTAGGTGCCTGTACTTTAAAATTCAATAAGCATTAATAATTGCAAATGTAACTATTACTAATGGTAATGTTAACATTGTATATTAATGACACCAATGCGTCGACACACACATATAAATCTACAGAATTAAAATGTAACTTTCGTCCAGTGTCATATTACAAATTATCACGCGATACTGACGTAATACAATGAACCTATACATAAGTAGACATCAACTCTGCATGCAGTTTAAGATTTTTGCTTAGAAAAGTTGTTGTACATATTTCGTTTACTAGGTTCAGGGTAATTTTGCAATAAAGTTTTTAGAGCACAAAATCATTAAATCATTTGTTAATCTTTTTGATAAATTGACGAATGATTTTAATACCTAGATTAGTTTTATGAATTGAACATAAATACTAATTAACTTACCTGTGCATGGTGCGAGGCAAGTGCGGCAGGCGCGTCAGCATCGTGCAGCGCGAGATAGTCATGCGGGAACAAATCCTGTACGCGCTCCAGATCCGAAAGCTTGGCAGCCCGCCGGCGAGCGCATCCACCGCCAACCAATCGCTCGTATTGCGCTAGCCGCTCGATCTGTTGACATAATTATAAATATTCTTTAAATAAATAATAATACTTAATTAAAAAAAATAGAGAACTACGAAAAACTAAATTTTTGTTGTCATGTCTCTTAATCTCATAATCAGTTATCATTATTGGCCCGCTATCGACGACATTCGTGACATGAAAATTTTGATTAATTTTACTCAGTAATTTTAAGTCACTCACCTATAATTATGCGTACCTATGTGTACAAGAAATGACCCACTAAAAATATTATTATCCTAATAAATATTGAAGGCAGTAGAAAACAATGAAATGGCTCATCAAATGTTTATAATTGAAGTCGTTGACTTGTAATCTAAATTCTTATTGCATACGTATGCATTCAACTGTTGAGGGTGACTTCCCGGCTACTTCACGACGAGTCCCTCAAGCGTGTTAATAACAATGATACCCTATTACAACAGGACAAGGGACCGTGAGAATGTTTCTCTATCTATGATGTGTATGCTTAAAATATCGACTTGCTTATCACTATCTTGTAACATCAAATGTAATTTTGCGAATATACTAAGAAGCTGAATAACCATTTATTTACATGCTTATATGTTATGCAAGTACACAGGTATAATGAATAATGACCAAGAAGTCACGTACGCACGATTGCAACGACGAATATGCAGAACGCATGCGAATGGCATTCACGATCATCTGCATAAACTGGGATGTGAATGATACCCGTAATCGGAAATTTCCATAATACATTTATAAACTGCACGATGACAGGGTTCAATTTCTTTCACCAATGGTTTCGATTTGACTTCACAGCCGTGTGCAGTGAAACGTAAAATTATGCGTTGGACTCACGACGGGTATCAAAACTCGAAAAGTTCGTGTTATCTGACCGCATTATATTCTCAGAATTCAAGTTCAAGCAGCTACACCGATCTCTATGTCCTTTTTTTGTGTTGGATACAACTCGATCATAGACATCATGTATTGTTTGATTCGTGGTTTAAAAGTTTAAGTTACTCTAATGTGTTGTATACGGAGCTCTGTATTTCAAGCAATGTTCTTCAATATTCTGTGTCAAAAGTAAAATCCGTCCATAGAGTTATGTTATTCAGAATGTTCATTGTTACAACTCCAACAAATCGGTTTATAAAAGAATGCATATGCGTAAATCTAACATATTATGAATGAAATATGTTGGATTGGTCATTCTGATACTGGAACGTTTACACGATTATATAATTGATGACATAAAACACAACTAAAAGTATTGAAGTTTAAACTAACTAGGTTATATGTTCATATATACTTACTGTAATATGTTTGCTTGACTCTTAGATAATATAATATTATTTCATATATTATAATATAAAATATATATTATATTACGATAATTCTATATTTAACAGAATATTTTTCGTTAGACTTGGTTTGTACATTCTTTCAGTAGTTGAATAATGAGCTAAACGGTTTGTATTGAGTTCACACTAATGAAAAAGACTATATGTACTTTTAAAAAGAGATGAGTATAATTCTTTAGAGTATATGGCGTCTAAGCATCTTAAATTTTCATTGTTTACTCCTCAATCAACACCTGAGTACAGCTCAGGGCTGGACAAGTAAGTACCACGAAATCGGAGCATTACAAATAGGCACGTAAAGGTTATCTATGAACGTGTTACACGGAACTGCACTTTCTAACTCAAATGTTTATTTTAGAGTAAGTGGGTACGGCGTAAGTTTTTAGATAACGAATGAACTGTCCTAAAACTTAGATAAGGAGAAGCGCGTGCGCCGTCATCTGTGCTTTATGGCGCTTTTTACAAAATTACGTGTTTCTTTTATATATGAATATAAAAAAACCCATCCTGTGTTGTAGAAAAACAATTGAATTCAGAAAAGATTAAAGATATTTAATTCGAGTTTATATATTACTTGAATTTCTTGAAATATAAAACTTAATTTCTAACAAGTACTTAATGTGATGTAGAAAGACATAGTCCACATTTTATTTCGAATAATCAATAATATGTCAGTTACTTGGACGTAATAACCTTTATAAATTACCTTTCAATTCCACCTAAATATTCGACAAAGAAAAGAATATAATCTCATAAAAAAAGAGAAAAATATGCATTTGCTATATGTTACTAGAATATTAATAAGTACATTTAAATACCGATTCATTAGAATTACACAACTAAGTTTGACAGCATGGCGACGGCTGTAACTCGGTACCAAGTTAACTTCAATTATGCAATCATAAGCATTGTCATCGTAATTGAATGAAAATTTGATTGATTATTTTCACAGTGCGCTATCGCAATAGACTATATAGACACTTGAACATTATAAACGGTAGATAATAGCGTAATTACATTAGTTATTTATATTACAGTTGTAGTATGCGTTTTATAGCTTTAATCTTTCTATTAATTGTGTGTAATTAGCAATTATGTGAGATACTATTCCTAAATTACTTTTTAATAAGTGCATCATTGAGAATAATTTTGTTTATTAAAAAGACATTTGATGGGTTTCTAAAGAACGAGAAGAAGTAATTAATGTAGTATTACAACAAATTCGACGTATCGAATTAAATGAACATTAGTGGCAAAAAATGCAGACGCAATTACTAAATGGGGGCATTTCACTTCCAATAAAGTTATTGAGGCGCCATAATCGCTTAAATAAATGCTTGACATTGGTTTAAAGGCGAGTTTAGTGTCTGGGAGGATATTAACGGTACGTAATGCGGTATTCGGGACACTTACATGGTCGCGGAATGTAATCATGGCATGATTCATCATGAGCTTGGAGAATGCTTGCAAGATCGGGACGAGGATATCAGACTATGGCAAACCATGAATGCAAACTCCATTGTAATTCAATGGAGAAACGAATACAATAATGTACCTATACTTAACAATATAGATATTCTACAATTGAAAATTGATGAATAGATTACTTTATTTACTTATTAATGTAACTCTAATCAAAAGTAGTAGATTAAGTATAGAATTACATTGTTTTTATGCAACTATAAATGAAAATACATTATGATGTCTGAAAACAATAGCAAAACAAATTTCTTGGCACCAAGCACGATTTTCGAATACTTGCATCTAAATGCAAAGTTATGTTATCAATGAATCGCAAACTGGTCGACGTTGATGAAATAGTTAAAGATATGAATTTAGTGACAAATGATCAGATAAAATTTCAGATTCATTCTAGTAAATAAAAATAGCACTAAAATCAACTTATACTGTTATTCGTTTCGAGTGGTAAACGGATCTAAAAGTTGCAATTGCAACGACATTATGGTATCTCGTAGTGACATCTCGTAGAAAGGTCGGGGCACAGCGTGTCACCGAAGACCATCGCGACACACATATTACCACCAACCATTGTTGTAATCCGACACTCTGCCGACTCATCCTTGGTGAAAACCAATTGATACGAGATAAACATTTCACTTTTCGAATAAATAAAATAGTAAAAGTAATTATATTCAACATGATTATTTATCAGAATAAAACCGTAATATCGATTACTTCCAATAAATACACGGTGAAAATATAATTACCATTAATTTTTCCGGTGACTTTTTTCATATAACCGCTAATTGATATTAGCAGCCTGTAACGTTAATAAATACAAAAAGATGGATCCATTTAAGTTCATAGAAGGTATCGATACCTACTATGAACTTAAATATAGGATTATTTAATTGTCAAACAGCATACAAAATCAGTTTAATGAGTCAATTTGATTACACTTATTTTGTTTTAACGCTAACAACGGAATATACATAATTTTGATGAAACGAACTATTATTTCGCAATATGTGCTCTACTTTGAGTGAAACTAGTACACATTATACAAATATCTCCTTTCCGTTGGAGAAGCTCAGTTGCAGGTAGACACTAATTAGGCGAGTTTGCTTCATTAACAGGTCATGTTATACTTAGTGGTCGATGGATGTATCTATATGTATGTTCAAACAGTTATTATAATAAACAAATACATATGTTGCCTATTTCAATTTACAAAATTACAACGTTAGAAAAAAAATATCATTTTGAAACAGTAATAACATTTAATAATCTAAACAAATACAAATGTTGCCTATATCTAAAATAATATATTTCATAATCCCCATAAAATTATGTATATATTACCTTTTAATACTGCATAGTTTTATCAATATTAATAAAAAAAATTATAGTACATGTGTAGTATTTGGAATTAGAGGACATACCTTACTTTGGTAAAGCGGACGAGGCCGCGTTTTAAAAGTATTAAGAAATATTATATTTTAGTTTATCTACGGATACTTAGATGGAATACTGGTTAGTAACTAGTATTCCATTATTTAACAAAAATAAAAGTACTATTATGGAAGACGACTTCAAATGCCAGTAATATTGTTTGGGAACAGTGAACCGTCTTAAATTGGAATGAATGCATTCTGGGCCGAATCTCGGTGCGCGGGAGATCGAGGTCATTAGCCTCGTGGCGCACCCCCCACGACCCCTCCAACATTCATTACAAAGTAACAACAAAAAAAAACTTTTGACACTTAACAATGTTTCAAATGAGCTGCCATACTGTAATATATTATTCATAAGAAGCGAACAATTAATGAAGACAATAAAAGAAATGTTGCAGTCTTTGTGCGAGTCAACATCTTTAGAGTTCTTGGGAGTAGCATTTACTTATAAAATATTCAAATCATATTTTAAGTGGGTGTTGGAGCGACAATAGTAGGCAATTAAGTTTGAGTATTTCAAATAGAACAAGCAATTGAAACCTAAACTAACTTAACATAAAATAATGTTCTGCTTTTAAAGTGTTACTGTTACAGGAACATCTTACCTAACCTATCGTCTATTAGTAATCTTCTATCTATATCATGATAAAGGAGGTGAAGAAATTTGAATACCTTGCTTGGCCTACAAAATTATAAGATTGACAGTCACAATATTAGAAATACTTATTTGACTTAAGGCTAT